AACTAATGGGGCCCAAAAGATGGATATGAGCGATGTCATCACTAGGGGTGTAAATAGACTAGACTAAACCATGCTTTGGCCTTTATGGTCTAAGCCTACGTAAAAAAATGATGAGCCTATCTGGCCTATTAACTTATTAAAGGCTTAGTTTATTTACTGGGCCTGCATGTTATTAAAAAATAAAAAGTCTAATATGGCCTATGAGGCCTTTTAGGCCTACCAAGTTGCAAATTAAACTAAAATAAAAAAATAAGATATCTTATTCATTAATAAATATTTTCAGCAAGCGTCGAAATTACAAATATTCTCAAAAAGAATTTTTAACAAGAACACAGATTTTTAAATATTGTTCGTGACACCAAAGATTGATTTTTTCTTAGTAGACTTAGGTAGATGAATAATATTTATTATAATTGATAAATACATTATTTTATTTTAAAGATTAAATAGGCTGGCCTATAAGCTTTAAGACTAGGCTGTTACTTAATTGGCCTATGGCCTATTTTTTAAAAAGGCTAATCTATAAGTCTAAGCCTAATCTAATTCCTCGATAGGTCAGATTAGGCCAAGTCTAACATAGGCTAGGCTGTCCTGTAGGCCAGCCTGACCTATTTACACCCTTAATCATCACCCATTTTGCCATTGTCAATCTGGTTGGCCTTTGCATGACACGTTACTAATTTGTCTTCAAATCAAATTTTTGTACCCACGACTAGGGGTGCTAAACAGGCCAGGGGCCTTTGGCTCGGCTCGTGAAGGTCTGAGCTTACATGCCCAAAATTGGTTATTGGAACCAGGCTTGGACTTGTATAAAAGCTCGTCTAATAAAAAGGCTTCAGGCTCCAATTCAAAAGTTCGGCCTTAGAGCCTCTCAGGCTGGCCTAGTATATTAGATTTTATTTTTATTTTATATTTTATATTTATTATACTACTTGTAATAACTTTCTCTCTCCTCAATCCATTTCACCATATTTTATTGATTAAATAGACTTTTTGAACGATTTTGTTCTATATTATGATGTTTTGATATACATAGAATTTATGAATATTTATGGAATTACTAGTGTTGCTGATTTGATTGTATATTCTATTTGGATAATTTTTTATTTTTTTTAAACAGACTAAATCAGGCTTTATTTTTTGTAAATAAACCAGGCCACAGACCGATGATTATATTCATAACAGGTAACAGGCTTGATCAGACTAACACATTTAAACACAGGCTTAGCCTTTTAAGACCAAAGTTCGGCTCGGCTCGACGCGTTAACACCCCTACCCACGACCAATTACAGCAATAATTGCAAAATTTCTAATATATATATTTTTTAAAATAATTTCTAATATATTATCGTAGTACTTATATTTATCAACTAAAAACATAGGGAAAAGTAATTCTCCAGTCACTGGAGATAAAGTTATCTCTGGTGAGCTCAAAACAACATCGTTTTGGGTTATAAAATTAAAAAATTATAATGATAAAGACAGCTGATAAAACTTAATTTATTTAATAGTTTCACTTTTACCGTTCTCATCAGTTATATAGCTTTCTAACTGTTCCGTAACTTACGGATTCCATTGTATAGTTAGTTGGTAGATACAGTTGTATAGTTAGCTTTATAATTTTCTTCATGAGCCTGAAGTATTCTTAGAGGCCATTTTATCTTTCTGTATAAATACTTTGTACGTTGCTTAATTCAATAAGATGAATCATTTTGATCAAAACACAAATCTCAATAATTTCAGTTCCAAAACGATATTGTTTTGGACTTATCGGAGATAACTTATTTCTATTGACCAGAGAGATCCTTTACCAAAAAAATATAATACCTATATAAACATGTTTTCTGAGGAGAAAAAATTATATTTATATATTTCGAGAAATATATAATATATAATTTTATTTTCAACAAAAATTATACCTAGTACTCCTAGGAATATATAAACCCTAAACGATAATACCCAAAATATTCTCCAAGATGCATATATGGGTCCTGTCCGATCCAGTGAGATCATGGATGCCATTGCTTTTTATGCTTTGCTTTTGCTTGACCCATTTGATTTCATAATATATTTTTGTTGGACGAGGCCCACACCAAATCACAAACCATGTGCACCGTATATATAGCGGGAAATTAGCAATAGCATCGTTAATTACTTGCATGCATAGGACGGGATATTGTAATCTGCAATTATATGCGGCAACATTAAAAGCTATCAAGATGAATTTACTTGTGTTTGCTTCCCTGATTTGCCTTTGTGGTAAGAGTTTTTAAATTTTTATTTTCTAAATCATCCTTGATGTGATTACTAATTATATATAAATAATAAAAATAGGCTAGTTCAGTATTTTTAAATCATCGCCGTTGATCAATGCTTGAATTCAAACATGGATCGTAACTCATTAATTATGGGAACCAAATCTCTTTCCTAAAAAAGAAGCCAAATCTATGAAAAATTCTATGCATATTAAAGGGCTTTAGCACTAATAAGTTCTCACTGCAACTTGATCTCACCTCACTAGCAATGTTGTTACTTAAAATCGAGATCTTAATTAAGATCGCAAGGGGATTTAAAAATCATAAAATTGTAATGTAAAAAAATCGTAAAAACGTAAAAGCATTTGGAATATTAGTAAAATTATTTTGATAAAAAATCATAAGAACGTAAAATCATAGTGATAAATCGAAATTTTAACAACAATGCTCACTAGTATAGTGGCAGAGCCCAGAACAAGATCCAGCCAGTACCAAAAGACCCAACTAGTAAGTACCAATGTCGTATTATTTTTAAAATCTAACCAATACATCAATTATATCATAATTTTTAAAGAAAATATGTAGCATTTTTGAAAATCAGCAGGTACATGCCAAGGCACCACCTAAAAACCAAGTGGTTTCGCCACTAGCCTAATGGTGAGGGGTGTATTGTGTCAGGTGATGTCTGTTCTAGTCTTTTTTCATATATCAAAAAAAAAAAAAAAAAACAGAGAGCGAGAAAGAAGGTTAAAATGATATTTCATAGAAAAGTGGTTTAAAAACTGTCTTTGCCTCTCAAGATTGTGATAAAAAGTTAGCTAAAATGTCATGAACCATTTAGAGTAAAGAAACATATATAAGTAATTTTATACTTATAATGAGATGCGATGAAGGCTAAAAATTACTTAAATTAGTCATATAATTTTATTTATTGCTAAGATAGTGTGTAGTTTTGTACGGTACAGAACTGCCTAAAGATACAAAACTTCAAAGAACCTCGGTTGGTATGCTCAAAATAGAACACGTGAATTTATGTACCTACAATATAAAACTAAATCATAGGTGATGCAGAAAGTAGAAGCCCATACTAACTGGTTTTGTTTTTTAGCAAGAGCATGGGTTCTTCATGTCCTTAGTTTAATTTTGCTTTTGTCTTCAATAATTTTTCCTTTATTTTTTCAAAAAATACCATTTACACATAAAAATACTATATTATTTTTTAACTAACTTCTGAAAAAAATTTCAAAAAATAATTAGTGTTAAAAAGATACAAAAGATACAAAATAAATTAATTAAATCGCACCCAATGTCTTAAAGTTTTGGATTGAATTTATGCTTATTATGGGATCAGAGCTGAAGTAACTAGGAGGTCATGAGTTCATCCTCACTGTCACTCACTTTTAGATGAAATTAAAAAAATCACAAGGTAAACCAAAAAATAAGCTAGTACAGCATAAAATATACCAAAAAATCTACCTGTGCCATATCCATGCTTTAAGTTCAAAGGGTATTTGAGTGAGATGATATGTTAGAAATATACAAAACATACAAAATAATTAATTAAATTTCACCTAATACCTTAATATTTTGAATTGAAGTGATTCGGTCAAACATGTATTTTTCTTTATCCATAATCAAAAATAAAATTTACGTGAGAATTGTTGGGTTATGGGATCCAATAACTTTTTTCTATGCACTCGCAGGACTAATTGCCTGAGGTTTAATAGTTTGGCTTGTTGGCTTCAATGTGCTGCCCCACATATCCATTCATCGCTTAGTGTGAAATTTTATACTATCAAATGAATAAAGAAATAAAGTTGTGTTGCTACCAAATAAAAAAAATAAAAAAGTTATGCCCAGACTAATATTATAATTTTTGATCTAGTGATAAACGCTTGATCCCAACAGCTGGCATCAGACTGAATTTCAACACCTCGATCGATCCGTTGACACCGACATGCAACCTTCATGTTCGCGCACCACTTAATTAATGTGAGGCTATGCATTCCCAATTACAATGATATAAAATTCTTAATGTGTAAATAATATTGTTTTTTTTTCCTTAGAAATATATAGTAGTTGTCTACAAATGAACTTAGAAAGGCATATACAATTATATTATTCCTAAACCTAATTTTCTATATATATTCTTTTTTGTATTCAATTTTCTATATTTTAACTAATGCACACGTGACATATCCATTTTAGGGGTGTTCGCGGTCTGTATTGGATCGGTTTGGGAAATAAAAATCATCTGATCCAATCCCTTCGGTTTGATAATGTAATTATCTATTCGGTTTGGATTTTTTTTCAAATCCGATACGATACAATTCAATTTTTTTTTTTGATTGGATTAGTTTTCGAATTTTTGAAAAGCCTAAAATTTGTTTGTGATTATTGTGCAAACAACGTATCTTTTGTATATATTGGTTTTGTAAAAAAAAAATTAAAAAAAAAACACAGAAGCATCAGTAGACGATAATATAGTTTTTTTTTTACAGTGAGATATGAAGCTCTACATAGATGAATTTTGCTGATGAGACGTGGCTAGGTTTTTTTTTTTTGAGTTTAGTTTATGGGTTAATGAGTCTCGGTTAGAATTTTTTGGACTATGATTGGGGAAAGACCCAAGTAGGTAGATGAGAATTAATAGTTGGATCGATTTGGATTGGATCGGTTTTCATCAACCAAACCAAAATCCGATCCAATTCAATTAAAATTTGCGATTTTTTTTTTCGATTTTCGATTTATTCGGTTATTAGTTTTTCGGTTCGGTCGCTGCAGTTTGAATCGGTTTGGATCGGTTGATGAATACACCTAATCCATTTTATAGGGAAAAAAATGAAATTCACTTGTTTTTCTTCTTTACTTAATAAAAGGAAAATGTAAAATATAAATGTAATAAACAAGGTGTCCGTATAAATTTTTTGGAGTATAGTAATGTTATCTTTATACTTACTTCTCATGCTTATTACTTTTAGAAATAAAAACTATAAAATGAACTGGCTTCCTATCTCCTTCCGTTCTTTTAGTATAAATATGTAAAATGTTATTTGAATGGGTAATAGTTTTCTCATGGCACAGGAGAAAATTATTATCTCTAACAGATTCATTTGTGCAAGTAGGGTTATTGTTGAGAGAAAAAAAATAGAATGGGATCTACCTTGAATTTGGGTGTATAAAAGATGATTTTTTTTCTTATGCAACGTAAAAATAATAAAGCCCTGTTTAAATATTTATGATTAAAATTGAGATAAGATATTATGATTTTTTTTTTTCTTTTTATGTTTACTCTGTCTATTCTTTTCTAACACCACAATCTAACTTAATTATGTTTAGCCATTCTCTCTCGATTGTGATACATCGGTATTAGAGATATAAGTAAATATGAAAAAATCTAGCAATAATATCGTATCCCTTCATTTTTATATCTGACATATATCTATACACACACGTGATTAACTGTTACATCTAACATATACGCACACATATAAGTGGTAGGAATTAAGTTGTGTGTGTATGTATCTATAAATAATATCCTTCAATACGTTTCTTTCGCTGTCCTCTGTTTTATCTTTATCCATCAATGGGAGTTGAATCTTTTGCTATCTGCTCGCTGATGCATTTGTTCACTGATGTCTCCTTTGACACACTGTTTTTTTCAGTACTCACCATCATCATCATCATCGTCATCGTGATTCTCACTAGTTTTTCATCTCTCTCACCTTGCTTACCCAGGATGAATATTTTCTGCAACTGTGAGACTTGTCAGGCTTATCTCACTTCAAGCTGGTCCAAACATTTCGATAATCTTTGTGATTGGTATGCTCATCTTCTCCGAAACTCTCCTACTAAAACCATCCACATACACGTGCTTGGAAACACTATCACCGCGAACCCAGACAACGTTGAGTACATGCTGAAGACAAGATTCGACAATTACCCAAAAGGAAAAACCTTTTCCACAATTTTGGGTGATTTTCTGGGCCGAGGTATCTTCAACGTGGACGGTGAATTATGGAGCTTTCAAAAGAAGATGGCAAGCTTGGAACTCAACAAGCAATCCATAAGATCCTTTGCCTTTGAGATTGTCAAATTCGAAATCCAACATCGACTTGTCCCACTTTTATTATCAAAGCAAGATGATGATGATGCTTTGGATTTGCAAGATGTTTTTAAGAGGTTCACGTTCGACACTATTTGTAGATTCTCCTTCGGGTTAGATCCTATGTGTCTAGAACTCTCTTTGCCCATATCAGACTTTGCTCTTTCCTTTGACTTGGCATCCCAATTGTCCGCGGAGAGAGCAACAACAGTGTCCCCTCTCATTTGGAAAATCAAGAGGTTGCTCAATCTAGGTAGTGAGAAGAGGCTACAAGAAGCTCTTACAATGATCAATATCTTAGCCAAAGAGGTCATAAGGCAAAGAAGAAAAATGGGGTGTTCAACTCACAAAGACTTATTGTCTCGGTTCATGAGTACAGTCAATGATGACATATACTTAAAAGACATTATCATAAGCTTCCTACTAGCTGGCCGTGACACTGTGGCTTCAACACTCACAAGCTTCTTATGGCTTTTGGCAAAACACCCAAAAGTAGAGTCATTGATTCGGCTAGAAGCAGAGAAGATAATTGGACCAGATAACAAGAAGCTTGCAAGCTTCGAAGAGCTGCAACAACTGCACTATTTACAAGCAGCAACATATGAGAGCATGAGATTGTATCCCCCGATTCAATTCGATTCCAAGTTCTGTTTAGAAGATGATGTGTTACCTGATGGGACATCAGTGAAGAGTGGAACTAGGGTTACTTACCATCCATACGCCATGGGTCGGTTGGAGGAAATATGGGGTCCAGATTGTTTAGAGTTCAAGCCCGAAAGGTGGTTGAAAGATGGAGTGTTTTACCCTCAAAGCCCATTTAAATACCCGGTTTTTCAAGCAGGGTTGAGGGTGTGTTTAGGCAAAGAAATGGCTCTGCTGGAGCTTAAAAGTGTGGCACTTTTATTGCTTCGACGGTTCCATGTTCAATTGGTTGCACCCCATAGTGGATCCCCACGTTTCTCTCCTGGCCTCACTGCCACTTTTAGTTCCGGCCTTCCCGTAAAGGTACGTGAACGAGGATAAGGATTGTGATTATTGATTCTGATATATATATATATATATAACTAACTACCCACTTAATTAGTGGTAAGATTGTGATATATATATGTGAACTATATTATATGGTCTTAATTAGTGGTAAGATTGTGATATATATATGTGAACTATATTATATGGTCTTTAGCTTAAGATTGTTCAAAGCATATATATATATATATATATATATATAAGATCTTGCACGGTATAATAGATGTAGCTCGCTCCATCTATAGTTAGAGTCGGGAAAAGAAAGAGAGACGAATTTTTGGTGCAATGGTAGCTATATAATTCGGGATGCGTTTGAAGCTTGATGAGGAGAATGACTGCGATGCAATCAATGGCGTACCGGTGCACACCCTTGCACTTGCACCACTAGAATAATAGAATTAAGAGTGTTTTGGTGAGAAGTAATGTTGTAACTAGCTCTATGCAGCGTTTTTTTTACTGTGCGTGTGGATTCAACGGTAGATTCTATTGTATTGGTTATAACTATTTTTTTTTTTACTGTGCGTGTGGATTCAACGGTAGAGTGTTTTGGTTAAATGCCTGAATAATCAATTTAAATAAAAAAAATATCGACTTAATTGTCTGCCAAACCAAAAAGAAACTGTCATTTTACCTAGTTAGAGCTACCACCAGCAGGAGACAGAATCAAGTCCACAACCATAGAAGATGTACAAACTAATTAAACACTTTTGCCACACATGATAAGGAGTCTGGATCTCTTAAATAGAAGTCTTGAGTTTGAATACTGAGAATAAAAAAAATAATTTGAAAGGGCTGTCTCCTTTAATAGAGTCCAAAGATGAACCTGTTGAAAAACTTAACAAAATAAAATAAAGGGAGAGGTGTGTATTTTTTTAAAGGATACACACTTATATCCTTTTAAGATAGATAAAGAGACAAATTTGGAGAAGAGAGAGTGGAGGAAAAAATTTATAATTTAAAATTTGAAAAAACACATTATATTCATCTAAAAGGACCATCCTTTTTAAATGACAAACAATGAACCCAGTAAAATAAAATGAAAGATATGTACAAACTACGAAGATTGTTATTATAGTGATCAGGTTCACGTGCGTGGGTGTACTTGTTTTCAGATTACGATTCATCGTATAGATAATTTGTTTTGTTTTGTTCTCAAAATTGGAACTCACTTGAGTGCCCAATGGCCCCCCCAAGCAGGATTAGAGGAACTCACATGGGCATGTGCCCTACCTCACGAGGGCTGCGCCACCATTTTTTATATTTTCATCCCAATTCCCATGCCAACCCCACCAGCACTTGCCCCTCTCATAATAGTTGTTTCTGCGTGAGCAAATGTTTTTATTCTCTCAATTTAAGTTTATCATTAATTATTATTTCAAATTACTTGTACTTAATTTTAGTTGAGCAAAGTTACTCTTTGAATATAAATTCTAAGTCCGATTTCCATATGGCATAAGGGGGAAAAACACATGTACGAAAGAGCTAAATGTTTTTCAAAATATTTTTAATTTATTTTTATCTTTTTGTTATTTTTACTAAATGAAATGAGAAAACAATAATAAAGTGAAAGGATAATATTAAGAATATTTAATAATTTTTAGATTTTATGCAAAATTGCAATAATATTACTATTTGTGCATTGCTATGAATTGTGCTGGACCCAAAAGCTTAAGTTGGTGGGTGAAGTTACAGACCCACCTACCTGAGTATCTGTGCTAATAAAGAAATTCCACTTGAAAGAATGTGGGTGGCGGCGAGGATTGAACCCGAGACACGAGGCTCTGATACCATGTAAAGAACTAATTCAACCCAAAAGCTTAAGCTGGTGGGTGAGGTTATATTAATGATTTTATATATTTCAACAATGATGAAATAAGTATTTCAATTTAAGGACATTTTCATTTTATTTTTTTTGTAAACTAAGGTCATGTTCATGATCATGACAAAAGATTACCAATTGAATCCCCCAACCACCTCTTTTTTTATTCATGGATTTGCATATTCCACAAAACGTGACAATTAGGATTATAATGAGACAAATATGTCTCTGTTTGTAGTAATCGTCTTGAGGTAAGAGCATAATCAGTTTTGTAGATTAATAGAATTAAAGTCTATCTTTGTTACGTACAGTGGCGGAGTCACTTGATGGCTTTAGGGTCTTTTGGCACTAACTGATCCTTTTTTTTTTTTTGGTTCCGTCGCTGCTTACGTAACTATATATTTTAATAATTGTTAATTTGTCACTTACGGATCTTTTTATACATATAATTTGATAAAGTCTAGGAAATTCTTAAGCCTGTTGAATCATTTTAAGTATAGTGATGTGATTTTGATAACCTCTCGATCTACTTCATGTTTCTTCGTGGATCGATATTATAATGCTCAAGAGAATTAGAAATAGTAAAACGAATCCTATCCTGTACGTTGTGCATTATGATATCACACTTGAGGAGACAGGCTTAAGTGGATATGTGTTGGGGTGGGGTGGAGTGGAAGAAAATGTTTTTATACATGGAAATAGTGAACGAAAATGACCTTGAAAAATTGAAGAGAATATATAAACAAAATTGTACTATTCATTCTGAGAAGACATTGTCAATGTAGTATAGTCAAAAGTTTCTCTCCGCATTCTTTAAAATAAAATATATAGCTTTATCAGCAAGCATGCAATCATGGTGCGCGGTTGTATGATTTTAGAATCTGCTGGGAAATGGAGAAGTTGCATACGAAAGTATAAGGACTTTATTATTATTATTAGCGCAATAATTGTATTAATAGTGTCAAATTCGGGTTATCTTATTGAGCCTAATGTGGGTTAAAAATAATTTAGATTAACAAATATTAGTCTAACTCGACTCTGTTCGGATTGCGGGTTATTAGTGTTGATAGTTTAACTCACATTTAATTTACCTATTTATATAATTAAACTCTTAACTAATGAGTTTGAATTTTTTTTAAACCTATTTTTCCATTATGATTTGTTTATATTCATAATTTACCAAGTCCTACTCCCTTCTAAAGTTTAGTTAAAATAAATCAAAGGTTAAAAAGAAAGAACAAACATCCGTTTCTACAGGACCCATCATTATTTGGGTATTTTAGTACCGTGTGATCTAAATCAAGTCAAGGAACAAAATTTCAAAAAAAAAAAATGGTGTGTAATATCTAAGGTTTAATTTATTTATTTTTTTAATAACTTATAAAAGAACCTAGTTATGTGTCAGTGCGACCACATACTGTGCGATTTTAAAGACGGCTAAGGTTTTGGGCTTTGATTCAGTCTTCATCCGAAGTTAGGCTTGGGAAAAATGAAATTGGCCTTTCTTTCACTGCTTATGAAATAACTGTTCATTTACAATATGTATATAGATTGACTGAAACGTGTTGTTAATGGTCGTGACTTGACCTAAAGATCCAAAATCCAAGCCACCAAATACTGAGTCATGGACTTTCGCTGCCCTTTTGCTTGTACATAAAAATGCCATCATTTTCACATTCTTGCATAATCTACGCCCAGTGCCGTTACTGTCTATATAAGAACAAATTATCACTTTATAAGCTATTTGTTCTCAATTTTTTAGTGTCAAACATTATTTTTCTTTTACATAAAAGACACTCTGTGATAGAGAATGGGCAATGCAATAAAGATGTTACAGAATTTGCTACTATTACTAATCGTCTTATGTCTCCATCGTTTGCCCATACTGACCCAAGGATCAAATCAACATGAAAGAAAGGTACACCTAGTTAGGGAGTGTCAGTTACCCAACCGAAATTAAATGGTTATTACTCCCGGTGAAGAAATATTCTTGCTATAAGATCATGAGATAGGTTACTCTACTTACTTTGCCTATCACCTTCCAATACAATAGAATCTCGAGAAGAGAGAAAGATAAATGTTAGATAAAATTCTGATCAGATAAATGTTAATTAAGATTCTGATCAGATAAATGTTAATTAAGATTCTGATCTAACGGTGTTGGAATGTGGTAGGCAGATGTAGACAGAAAAAATGGTAGGTAGAATAACATATCCTAGGATTAATTAGTACTTCTTCTTACCGTTTTCTTAATTGATATGAATTTTGTGATTAAAAAACAGCCATATATTGTATACATGGGAGAACTACCAGCAGCAAGAACTTATCCCGTGGAATACCATCACGACAACTTGCTTGCATCTGCGATTGGAGAGTAATAATCTCAATTCTCAATTAAAAATGCATTTGATTGTAATGTTAGGCAATGGACCTTTGCATAGTTTATTATAATTAATCAACACTTCTTCATAATGAATGGCCCTTTCTTTTTTTACCTACAGCAAGCAGTTAGCCAGAGAGTCCAAAATACATAGCTACGGAAAGAGCTTCAACGGATTCGTTGCACGACTTTTGCCACATGAAGCAGAGAAACTGAAAGGTACTTCTACATTTTCGACAGTGAAATGATCTAAATACACAATTTCCCTTCAATATTTATATGTTCTGTATTGGTATTTAATTTTATGCAGAGGAGGACAATGTGGTATCCGTGTTTCCAAATACATACCGTAAATTACACACAACAAGGTCATGGGATTTTCTGGGAATGCCCTTAAAAGTAAAGAGAAACCCCAACATAGAAAGTCATATCATTGTGGGCATGTTAGATACAGGTATAAAGAAAATATTCCTCTAATCATGATAGTTAAAATGTATAATAAATTCTTCCTCTATTTAATTAAACAGGTATTTGGGTTGATTGTCCCAGTTTCAATGATAAGGGGTATGGACCTCCCCCCAATAGATGGAAGGGAAAATGTGTAACGGGAGCCAACTTCACTGGCTGCAACAAGTATTATTCTAATTTCTATGCATCCACTATACTCGTCCATGCACCACATGAACGATACAATTTTTCTGATAAATAACCAAGAAAAAGAGAAATAGTACTTACATAAAACTTTTCTACTCTGTATATTTATAGCATCAGCTTACGATACCAATATTACATTATTTTATATAACTTTCTTTTAAGATAATAAAAAGAAAAAACAAAAACAATGTAGATTGATTTTTGCATGCAAGGTTGATTTCGTTTCATCCTATTATGCGCAGCAAGGTGATTGGAGCAAAATACTTCAATCTTGACCCAAGCGGTCCTGAAACTGACAATCTTAGTCCGGTGGACGATCAGGGCCACGGCACTCACACCGCCTCCACAGCTGCCGGCGTGGCGGTGAAGGATGCAAGTCTTTATGGCATTGGCAAAGGAACCGCACGCGGTGGCGTCCCTTCTGCTCGCATTGCCATGTACAAAGTTTGCTGGAGCATTGGTTGCAGCGACATGGACATGCTGGCTGGCTTCGACGAGGCCATAGCTGACGGCGTTAACTTCATATCAGTTTCCATTGGAGGGCCATCACGTGACTTTTTCAGTGACCCAATAGCCATTGGAGCATTTCACGCTATGAGGAAAGGGGTTCTCACTTCTTGCTCAGGTGGAAATGATGGTCCTCAACCTATGACAGTTGAGAACGTTGCACCCTGGATTTTGACGGTGGCAGCTTCCACAGTTGATCGGCAGTTCACGACGATGGTAACATTCGGTGACGGAAAGAACATTACAGTAAGTAAAGTAGTATTCGATCATTTTCATCCTCTCTCTCGAGTCTCAATTACAATATTACAAATTGGCATAGCTTATTTGGTTGGTGCTTGTTAGGGACTATCTATTAATACCTTTTCACTAGAGAAAAACATGTATCCATTGATTAATGGAATCCTTGCTGCGAACGGTAGTGGAGATGGCTATGGCTATGGCAGTGCTAGGTATTGTTATTCTTACTTAACCCTGATGATGTGCTTATAAAGTTTTATTTCTTAAAAAGATTATAATAAGTTTGAGAAAATAATAATAATTACGATGCAGTGGTTGTGATTATGGGACTCTAAGCGAGGACAAGGTGAAGGGCAAAATAGTGTACTGCGTTGGAGGTATGGGTAGTCAGGACTTGACCATCAAAGAATTAGGGGGAGCAGGGACAATCATAGGCCTTGAAGAGAAAATAGACGCTTCCTACACCACAGTTATTCCAGGGACCTTTGTTGAAGCCAATACCATGGGCAAAACCATCGATCTCTACATCAATTCAACTAAGTACGTTTTTTCACTAACCCTTTTTTACCATGCCCAAATAGGTAACCTGAGTTTACATTTACCATGCCTAAATTTAAATTCAGGGATGCTCGAGCTGTTATTTACAAGACAACAAGTAAAAGAACACATGCTCCATATCTTGCTTCTTTTTCATCCAGAGGTCCTCAACGTATCACACCCAACATCCTCAAGGTGATCTCTTTCTCTCTCTCTTCTGTTGCATTTGGCTTGCCTTCTAAATTTCTACATTGTATGTGAAGCCTGACTTGGCTGCCCCAGGAATGGACATACTAGCTGCTTATTCCAAACTGGCAACAATAACAGGGTACCCTGAAGACAACCGTTATGATGTTTATAATATATTATCAGGAACATCTATGGCCTGCCCACATGCCATTGCAGCTGCTGCTTATGTCAAATCCTTCCACCCTGATTGGAGTCCTGCTGCAATTAAATCTGCTCTCATGACCACAGGTGAGAATCCAATGCAAATCCCCACTCTATAGTCAAAGTGTTGATTATGAATAATATTCTCTCTTCCTTTTTTTTAATCATTAGATATTAGAATATTGAGTCATAGTAACATTCTTGGTAGACAAAATAAAAATAAAAATTCATTTTCTAATCTAACATCTTCTTCTCTGCCATACAGCTACTCCTATGAAAGTCAGTGACGATTATGCCGAGTTGGGATTTGGGTCAGGACAGATTAGTCCAGTAAGAGCAGTGCATCCTGGCCTACTATACAACATCCAAACGAACTCCTACATTGCCTTCTTATGCAAGCAAGACTACAACAGCACTAACATAGGTACACTAATTGGTAACAAAAGTTTCGATTGCGCAAGCATTAAGCCTGCGCGAGGCACTGATGGAATCAACTACCCTAGCATGCATATCCAGCTCCTCAGTGCTTATTCTAGAATTTCTGCAGTATTTCATAGGACTGTAACTAATGTAGGATATGGAACTTCAACCTATAAGGCTAAAGTCACAGCACCCAAGGGTCTTTCTGTAGAGGTTATCCCAAATACATTGCAGTTTAGTCAGTTACATCAAGACCTGTCATTCAAGGTTGTCCTGAAGGGGCCACCAATGCCCGATGAGACACAAATATTATCTGCATCACTTGAATGGAATGACTCTAAACACAGTGTCAGAAGTCCAATACTTGTCTTGAAGCCCACTTCATAACCTAGGAATTTAAGTTCAACAGTTTTTTTTTTTGTTTTTTGTTTTTTTTTTCATATTATGTATATTTAATTAGTTATTTGCCTTAGTTTAATGAAAAAGAAATTTAGATGCACCAATGATCAATTTATTGGGTGCTAATGACCAACATAAACTCATGCATTACCCTGATCTAGTAATTTTTCTCCTACTTTTTTTTTTTCTCCTTTAAACAAATGACAGTACCCTAACAATTAAGTTGTAGGATCTAGTGCTGCCTCAACTCAAGCCATCAACGCTTAAGTATTCTCATCATCAACTCTGCTTTATCTTTTCAGTGAAATGAGTTTGAGTTTAGAGAGATGGAAAAATAATCATTTAAGGTATAGAATTGCCATTAGTTTTGGTGAGGGGTACATATAGATATAGGACATAACAGAAAATTAATTTTTTTTAAATTTTAATTATCAAAATAATAGAATATTCAACAACTACAATTAAATTTTTAATTTTTTTTTATATACAGTATCAATTAATCCTAAAAAAGTTAAATGAAAAATACAAAATTATAAAAATATCACTTGAATTAAAAAAAAATCCAAAAATGACACATGCACGTACAATGCACAAACAATTTCAAGCCAACTCTAGAAACATCAAAACCGTCCCTGAAATGGACTGCTGTTGAGGTAATAAAAGAGTTGTAAAGTTCATAAATAGATCGGCTATTGAAGTTGATGTAAAGAATTAGAGAGAGAGAGAGAGTCAGCAGACCAAAGGTTCTGTTATGCCCTCAATATTCAAGGTTATGTATGAAAGCTATTGCATTCATAATTCATTCATCCTAGGGACCAAGAAAAATTCTAAGACCAAATTTTTTTGGATAGACCAATAACCTACTAAACATGAAAAATCATCAAAGTTAAGGTTACAAAAGGAGATAATAAATGACCAGTAGAAATTCAGGCCATAAAATGTGACGGAATCCACAAATGGTATAAGAGTTCTTCTGTGCATGCACTAAAAAACCCTGGTTAATTGCATTTTGAGTTCAATATTATTAACAACCCCTACTTCCCCTGAAAGAGGATCTTTATTCTTGATTTAAGGATGTAACAAGTATAAAACGAAGGTTTAAATATCTCTCTTCCCTCCTTCCTCATACGACTTATTGTGCACATAATTTGTAGGATTAACTGCTCTGAAACATAGTTGAAAGTTGAAGAATCCAGATCATAATAAGTACCATAAAAAATCTGGTCAGCTTCACCACTTTAGGAAACTAACTTCTCTCTTTCGTTTTCCAGAGAAAAAAATCCCAGTAGCAGTAAATAAATAAAAATGAAACAAGCAAGATGATTGAAGAAAAACTTAACCTTTAAAGTGTGCTATACATGATTTGAACTAAACTTCTCTTCCTTCAAAAGCCTTCAATGGATACAGTTAATGTGTACTCTCCTCAATCTCCAAAATCTTCTTTTCCATCGAGCTAGTAGGTGCAAAAGCTGGTAATGCATGAACTTCCACTCACTACTGAACTTTTAACCATGTGTGTTAAGAAGTCAACAGTGCAACCGGGACTGGCGGTTATGGATGCTTTTTATCTTTGTTAGTTCCTTTCTCCTCTTTCTTGCCTCTGCTGCAGCAACTGCATCCACTAGATTTTTACCTGGGCATATGAACTGTTCTTGTTTCTTCTCCAATGAAGAAATTTCAATATGAGAAGCTGGTGAAGATACCTCAGTGTTGGGAGAAAAATGTAATTGAAGCTTGTGGTCTTGCTCGACAGCAGAAGCATGACCATTACAAACAAGTGTGGGTCCATGGAAACTGTCTATAATGTGACATCCTATTTTCTGCTTACCTCCATTCAAAGGAAATCTTGGATTGTTAGGTCTAGCTTCTGTCCAGCCAGAAACTTCTGGTTTAAGTTTGATAGGTTGAACTGCTTGATAATCCATATTTGCCACTGTATTCAAAGATGAACTAGAACTACATTGCTTACCCAGAAGAAGTTCATCGTGTTTATCTTTTGGGCCACTGGAAGCTGGTGAATTTCCATTTCCAAATTCTGGAAGAGGGAATAACCAAGGACATGGAAACAAGCACAATGGATGTTGTGTTCGATTATCATTTGTAAGGTTATTTTGCTTGTGAAAAGATTCAGACTCAGAAGAACATGGAACATAAACATTTGATGGAATGACAATGGAATTAAATGGTGTATGTTGTAATTGAACTGGCCCACCCCAACTAGTTTGAGGTAAAACTGAGGTTGTTGTTGTATGTTGTAATTGAATTGGATTAGAAGACTGAAGGATGGAAGGCCAAAATAACTGTGAAACTGGGAAATGGTTATAAAGAAACCATGGACTATTACGAGACAAAGGTGTTACCTCAGCCACAGATGACTCCTGCTCATTGGGAGTTTTCTCCACTTCAGTGTATATTGACTTGGCTATCTGCAAATGGAAGCAAATGTTTACTTCTTTTGCCAACAAGAGTTATATTGTGCTTAAAGATTTCTGCCACAACAAAACATCTTACTTGTGCCTTTAGGTGCTTATTCGTAGTCTCCAAAGATTGATACTCTTTCAAAGCCAACTCCTTCTCCTTTGCACGAGAAATGTCACAAAATGGGAGAGTGAATGATCAGATGAATATCAAAGAGGAAAAATAAATTGAGAAACGATAATATCTTAAATAGATGCCTCATGCAAATATGCACAACAAAATAAAGAGGAAGGAAGTGGAAAAGGAGGACATAAAAGGTGGCTTAATAGGAAGATAACAAACAGAGGATTGTACCATACCTTCTTCAGGTTTTCATTCTCCAGAACTAAAGTGGTGGCTTTTCTGGTTAACTCCTCACACAGAGCCTGAAACAATTAGTATAGAAAAACTAAAGTATCATACATAGCCAGAGGGGCTATCAATTATGATAAACATTAATCTTTTTAATATATATTTTTTTTAAATGAGAGACAACCAAACCTTGCATTTATTCCAAAATGGACATAGCAATACATGTATTTCTCATACTTGGGACTCGAAAGGTAGGATAAAGGCTTTAGATTTGTCAATTTCTGTATTTTAGGACATAGAGCACACATCAAATAACTTAAAACTATATTCCTGTGCGGGAAGCACTGACTCTTAATACAATCAAAATAGGACTTGTTGCTATTATCATGCACCATTAAAAAGTACATTCTTAATCACATTAGCTTCAGGTAATATAACCACACATCTTTTGGTTCATTACCAATGAGGATACTTCAATAAATTTCAAAGTGAGAGCTTACAAAAACACCCATGGCTAGTATTGGCACACAGGACTGGGGCTATTCTACAAGTTTGAAGGATGTTAAAGTAGAAATTACAAGATGTCCTATTCTACCATCATGGATGCATTCATTTGTTACAAGAACAGTTTAGATCATCATCCAATTAATAGGTACATTGTGAATAAGCGATGTCCAATCAACAACTGTGCCACGGAGGGAATGAATAACAAGACAGCTAATCTGAAGATCCCCAGAGTGAAAGAGATGATTAAAAAGCACAATGTAAGTTGATAGACAAATAAACCATAATGTCCAGTGCAAAACATAAAAGTCAAGACTGGTAGTACTACAAAACACCTCAAGCATGTGCTAAGTGTGTATTTGGTTTAGATTTTGGGCAGTCCATAAGCAAATGTAACAATGGCGAATTGATTTGTCTACGTAAATACCTGCCTACGACGAATTGTCTGCCTAGCTGACTCTCTATTGGCCAATACCCTGCGTATCCTCCGTTCTTCTTTTTCTTCCTGAACAGAAAGTCCAGTATTACAAGAATCTAACGATGACCATAAATTGCAGTAGAAGAAATTTCTCACTTTCTTATACCTCAGTTAAATTACGCCTTGACTTGCTGCCACGAACCAAAGAGTAACTTGTAGTCTTAGATAAATCAGCATCCTGCTCCCCCTTCATATGTCTAGAGCAGTCATCCTTCTGAATCCTTTCTGTTTCTGCGGATGTAGTTGTAGATATTTTTTCATCTTGATGCTGACCTGTAACAGCCTGGCCCTGCCATAAATTAAACTTTTCTAAACTCCTGCCTAAAATGTTATAACTTGGTGATACTCACTTAATATTGGATGTGTGCTTTAGTTAATTGTCTCATCCATCGTTATACAAAGGAAAAAACAAACAAACAAATAAAAAGATTTAACTATGTTAAATTAAGTTGATATTCTTTTTTTTTTTTTCCAGAAGATGCTGGGGGCATAGATGTTAATCAATAGTAAGCAAAATGAGAAGAAGAAAAAAAGGTATGTGAAGAAAATATACTCAGGCATGAATGTTCCATTAACAAGGTCCACACAGACAGAGTATTCTGAATATTACCAGTTTAAAAAATATATACATGTATATCGAAGTAAATTCAAGCACCAAACTTTAGACATGTTTTTTTATCTTGTTTTATTCATAGGTACTACCATTAGGATAAAATTGTTATTACGCACATGGAATGAGTTTTATGATAAAAATGTCCAAGTAGCAGAGCACCAAAAAAAGGTGTATTTAATACATTTAACCAGACATGAAAAGAGATAGAGCACAAAATGTTATTCCTTTCCAAAAGAAGGATATTAAAATGCAACCCACACGATCAATGAGTCTTAACCTAAAAAGAGATAATCACCGGTCTCTATTAATAATATCGTTCAGAACTGCGGAAGAATCACTATTTTGGTTAAGGTTTTGATCGTGCATAGAAAACTATTCTTATATAATCAAATGTCCTAAGTTGAAATAGTTATTTGACTCACTCGGTATAAAAATTACATATACATACTGTTACTTATGGGTAAATGTTGACCAGTGTTTATATAAATATATAATTCGACAATAGTATAACTATTTCTCATAGTCATATCATATGTGTTAAATGAAAATTTGAATAAAATTGTACATTAGATTGACTAAAGATAGTTATTTAAAAAAAATTAAATAAAATAAAACTAACCCCAGGCGCAGGGGGAGAGTGAGAGAGATCCGAGTCAGGAGTCGGTGACTCGCGCGTGAATCGCCTGGTGTCTCGTTTGGCTTCGTTGCTGCACCATTTACCGGCAGAGTCAGTCTCGAGCATTGCCAACTGTGCCAGGTCAGCCAGAGTCTCCGCCGCTTCAATCTCCTCTGTCTCGACGCGCCGATCCTCCGACGCGCACGAGGAGAAAGAAGAAGAAGAAGAACTCGATGCAGAGCGCTTCTGTGATTCCGAATCCATGGTTATTCACTTATTCTTCATGCACGAAAGAAGAGAAAGAGTTATTGTAACGGTGGTAAGAGGTGGCAGTGCGAACCGAACAGATAGAGAGAGAAAGAGAGGAAGAGGAGAAGGTATCACATCACTCACTGGTTAGCAGAAGAAGCTCACAGATGGTAACTGAGTGACAAGTGTCATGCCAACTCACATGTGGACATCTATGATAATAAGCGCCTATGTATCTTCGGTCGCCACGTTTCAGGAACTTGACCACGTAGGCAATTTGCCGCACTGCAAAAGTCGGCTCCTTTTAACGTTCATGCCTACACTAATTAATTAAGCATCTCAGCTCCTAATCAAACCCGAGCTTTTTTTTTTTAATTAATGTTATCTTCACGAAACCGAACACCCTCGCCGAGTCACATTAAATGTATATGGAAAATGCAATTATAATGTTGGAGGAAATAAAAAATCATTCTACCACTGATTTATAGAAAAATGTGCAAAAAAAATTTCTATTTTTTTTATTAAAATGGTGGGTCCCAGCACAATCTCATTTCTCCACTTGCAATATAACCGATTAAATCCTCTAATTTGGTGTGCTTGGTTATTAGGAAATCTCCCTGTTGATTTTTTTTTATTACCTTTCGAAGTCTGGATTCAGAGGAATCTGTATAGAGGGTGGCCTAATTGCCAACTCTTAGCTTGAAAAGACATTTTTGTTACATCTATTTGGTTCTTGTGGAAATGGCAGAATGGGGAGATCCATGAACCTTCCTTCTTCAGGCAAATGACCTGATCCTCTTCATCTCTTCTTACATTAGAGACATCAGAGATAGCCTCCCCTATCAGGTCCATTTGCGAAGTATTACAGCAACCAACCAGAGTGGTAGTTGGAAAGCACCCCCTCAAAGCTGGTGGAAGCTTAATGTAGATGCTACGGTTAATGATAATCTAACTATAGCTGCTTGTGGAGGTCTTATAAGAGACGATCAGGGCAGGTGGATTACAGGTTTTATGTACAAGATTGGTTTTTGCTCTCCTCTATCTGCAGAACTTTGAGCTATCCTTAAAGGTATTCAGGTGGCATGGGAAATTAAAGCCCAACAGCTCCTAGTCGAGAGTGACTGCTTGCAGGCTATCCAAGCCATTACTAAAGATGATGTTGGTTGCTGCCACCACCAACTTATAAACAACATAAAGAGCGAGCTGGAGGAATAGAAGTTGGCAAATCAAGTTTACTACTTCAGCATTAAACACCATTAAACACGTGGAGCATATAACCCTCTTACACATGCATTTCTTCATTCTCTCCATGCACGCTTAACCCTTTACATGTTATACGTCACACAACCTCACACTTAGTGGATCCACAGAGGTATCACACTTTGCGTACTTAAAGGGAATCTGTAACCTCCTATATAAAGGGACCTTAAGAGTCGTTTGGATGGACTTTTGAAAAAAGAACTTTTTTATGAGTTATTTTTTTTAAAAGAATTTTTTTTAAAAGTCAATGTTATTTTGCGTTTAGATGCAATATTTGAAAGATGCTTTTTAACTAAAAATGTCGTTTGGATGTTAAAAAAAAAATTCAGTATAAAATAATTGTTGTGCCCTTACTCACTCCATTTCCATGGCACCATCCTCTCCTCCGCTCACCGACAATTCTAACGCCGAGCACCGACTTCGCGAAGCACCATATTTTTCTCTCAACCTTCTTCATCTCCCTTCAGAACCCCTTCTTCAACCCCATCATTCAGTACTCTATCTTCTACCCCTGCCTTCAGTATCCCATCTTCTACTCCAGTCTTCGGTACCCTAGGTTTTGGAAACCCATCATCAACGCCAGCATTTGGGTCTTCTTCTACACCCTCCTTTGGCACTGGCTTGGTTCTTCCCCTTTCTCTATGCCATTTTCTTCTCAACAACAACAGCAAAAGTAGACTCCGTTATTTCAACAATCAGCTTTTACTGGTTTCGGGTTTCAGAATTCTCTGGCAGCACCTCAACCCCACCCCATTCCCAAATGCGCAATTGACTACTCAAATGACTAATGTAGCTCCCATTTCTTTCTCTCTCGCAGGAACTGAGGGCAAAAATGCTCACACGAGGGTCATGCCTTTGCTTCCAGCTTCTCTTTTTTCCAAAAGCTACAAATTTTAGCTTTTTCAAAAAGTGATATTTTAACTTTGTTCTTGGCTTTTGCTTTTTTTAAAAGTTAACATCCAAACAATCAAAAAATTGTAAAAGCTCTTTTATTTTAAAAAGAAGCTTTTGTAAAGACAGAAGCTCATCCAAACGACATCATAGTTACCTCAGATTTAGCTAAATATATTATACATAAGCAAGGTTTATTTAGACCAAATCTTAATATTTCCTAAGCTTATTTAGAAACACAAAATGGCAAGCCAACCTCACACATCTCAAACCATGATCATATTTTTAATGTCTTTCTTCTTTTGCTATTATTTGCAATAAATTTTGTTATAAATACAAAAATAGTAATTATGAAGAGAGGGAATTATCAAGAAATCTTTCTCACTTTCCCTATTCATCTTTGATTTCTTCCATTTTTTTCTCCTTAATCTCTCTTTTTCAATTTTGGCCCTAATTCTTATCTATCTTCACGATTCTCTGATCTTCTTTCCTATGTCTCCTAATATGGTTTCTATAAATGGTTCTTTAATTTCATTACTTACTCTTTATCCTTTATGGATGTAAGCATCGGCTTCTATGTTCTTTCATAACAGAATACAAAATTTAACATGGTTTTCAATCTACTTTTTAACACCTTCACGTTTAGGATTAAAGCCATTTTAATTAGGTTCCTTTGGAGCAACATCAGGCAGCTCCTTCACTTGTTCAACCTTGTGAAGGAGGTTGTGCACCTAGAGTTAGAACAATCCATATATTTTTTTCTAGAATTTATGCTTTGATTTCATATAAGGGCATGATCGCGAGAATGACCACTAAAAATAGGACTTTGTGATCCTCGGATGATCTCAAGCTCAACATCTTTAAACAAGGAGATTATTCAACTTAGGAAGACTAGGAAACTATCATAAAGTTTACTCTGGTTATTGACAAGATCTATAGGGTTCCTTTCAAAAGTATGTAAGAGGTCTCTAAATCAAGATCTATAGGCCTGACTCATTCTACTCTATTCTCTCTTCTATCAGGTAGGGATGTCTTATCCGAATAAATCTTTGGTACTACTGTTGTACCTAGATTCAGTACATCTCATCAATCAGAGCAGTACACATCAGAGGAGAGAGAAAAAATTTGACAGAAAAAATATATTTTAATTGACATGTAATATTTTTATTGGTGGGATGCACTGAATCTTTGGTACAACAGTAGTACCAAAGATTTATTTGTCTTATCCCAAAACTACATTTGTCCAACCCCGTATTGATCATGAACACGTGGCCATGATCCAGTCATAAATTTATCATTTGCCTTGCACGAGTCCCTCATTTTTTGCATACTCAAGAAACTTCCTCCATCTCTCATCAAATCAAACAAAATGCCCTCTTATAATAAGCTATTATAAATGCATATAACTAGCATTACATTGGTCCACATCTTAACGTTATTCATTTTGATGCTATTTTAATGTGAACAAAAAAACATCGAAAACGTAATAAGGGCTTAAGAGAAATACGAGGCCAATGTTTGCTTTGGGCTATTATGTCTATTATAGAAATTTTTAACCAATAAATTATCCTACATATCAATTTAATAGGTGAGATTGAGTTAAACATATTATATATAAGTATTGCCTATTTATGCCAAATCCTAATCTTACCTATCATAATTACATCCGAAATAGCAACACTTAATGACATGGAAACCTCACACGTCTCTCAAACCATTATCATTTTTTTAATGTCTTTCTTCTTCTATTATTGATTGCAATAAGATTTGTTATAAAATGAAAATAGTAAATAAAGAGAGGGACAAGGAAGAATTATCCAAAAATCTCTCTCTCTTTCTCCCTAATTGTCTCCAAATTATCCTTAATTTCTTCCTTTTCCTCTCTTTAACCTTTCTTTTCTCAATTTTCTCCCTAATTCCTCTCTATCTTCATGATTCTCTCTTTTCTTTCAAATCTAATTTTTCCCATTCATATGTATTCTTCTCTTATTGACTATTATCCTCTTATTTCTTAAATCTCCTAATATAATTGCTACAAATAATTCTTTTATTACTTACCTTTTCTCCTCCATGGATGTATACATTGGCTTTCGTGTTCTTCCACAACAGACTCTGAAATTTAACATGGCTTTCAATCTACTCTTCGACACCCGCATGGTTAGGATCAAAGCCATTTTATTTAGGCTCTTGTGGAGTAACATTGACAACTTCATCGCTTGTTCAACCTTGTGTAGGAGGTTGAACAACTAGAGTCAAAACAATTCACACTTCCTCCCGATGTTTTTACGGAATTCAAGCTTTGATTTCATACGAAGGGCACAATCACTGGCATGACCACCTGGACGAGGACCGGGTGATTGGTGCCTCCTCCAATTATTTCAAGTTCAACACCTTTAAGCAAGTGGAGTAATCTACTTGGGAAGACTAGGCAACTTTCTTAGAGCTCACTTTGGTTGTTGATTAGATTGGTAGGGTCCTCATCTCTAAACCAAAACCTTTCACTCACATAAATGACCAACTCCTTAAGGGATGCCTTATCCCAAATGACATTTGTCCAACCCCGCATTAATTATGAACACATGGCCATAATTCAGTCATGCATTTATCGTGTGCTAAATGCCTTGCATGAATCCCTCGTCTTTTTGCATACTCGAGAAGCTTCCTCAATCTCTAATTAAATCAAAATAAAGCTTCTCTTATAAGGCATTGAATGCATAAGTTATTATAAATGCATCTAACTCGCACTATATGAGTCCACATCTTAACATTTTTAAATTTGGTGCTATTTGAAGGTGGAAAAAAAGACATTAGAAATATGACAACAGCTCAAGAGAGATGTGATGCTGGCTTCTAATGGCCTATTTTATTTTGTTAATGTATGATTTTTTTTTTGTTTCCCAAGGTATCCGACGGCCGAAGACTAATTATTTCGAGGCGGGAGATCACATTAAGTGGGTAAACCTCTTCCAAGAAAACCTTTTCCATACATTTATTTTGTTAATGTATGATTTTTTAGTTTAATTAATAGTTAATTCTCACTAAATACTTTTAAATACAAATAAAAATTTAAAAATATAAAATAAAAACATTTAAAAAATCAGAAAATACAAACTTAATAATAAAATTGTAAAATAATATGAATAATTAATTTTAAAGATTTTATTTTTTGAAGAGAAAATTTAAAGATGACGTGTTATTTTTTAAAAAAATGAGTAGATTAAGAAATTCAACCACCCTCAAAAGAATATTGTATTATGTAGTGTATAAGTACAAATTATATACTTCTTTATTTAGATATCATATAAATATTATTTGAATTTGAAGATATTATGACTAAAAAAAAATTATAAATATATATATGAAATTAAAATTTGATCAAAAAACTATTAATAAATTAAAATATGAACATTTTATTTGATACATAAATTATTCTTGAACATGATTAATGTCATAATGTCCGAAAGACATTTAGAAAATAGCTTTACCACAAGTCTCTTTAGGGGGTGTTTGGTTCAAGTTTTTGGAGAGGATTACCGGTAATCCTTCTTTGGTAAATGTAATTACCACGTTTGGTAGAAAGAATAAATTACGATTCCCGGATATCCAAGGATTACCGGTAATTTGATTTATAAAGAAAAGTCACTATTCAGATTACCAAAAATAATATGGTAATTCGGAATACCAATCAGAATACCAAGTAAAGGGAAAGCACAACAATAAATTTTGAGACAAAAATACCCCAATACACATAAAAATCTAGACCCAATCTATCAATTACAAAAGTAAAAATAGTTTGGAGTTATTTTTGTAAAATAACCTCATATTCCAAGTCATATTTCGTTCTAAACCAAATATGGAATCAGTAATTTTTACCCAGTATTCTCGGTAATATTTTGGCGAACCAAACACATCTTTCGTAAGATTACAAGTAAACTCAATTTCTACTGAATTCCCATTAATCATGATTCCCGGTCACCAAAAAATTTCTCCTGTACCAAACACACCCTTAGCGGTTCATTAATCGGTCTCATAATTGAACATGATGACGAGGTCCAACATATTGATAAGAACAATGTGCAATGTTCCAACATATCGATGAGAAAAATTTGCAATTAATATAAATGCACAGATGTAACCCAAAAAATATATATATAAATGTAAAGAATTATCAGATGTCTTATTTACCAATGACAAGTTGCTAGAAATCAAATCCTAATCGTTTCATATATATATATATATATATATATATATATATATATATATATATATATATATATATATATATATATATATAGGAGATCCATGTGGAATTATATAAAAAATTTGCAATTAATATAAATGCTCAGATATAACCCAAAAAATATATATAAATGTAAAGAATTATTAGATGTCTTATTTACCAATGACATGTTGTAAGAACAATAATTAAAAAACAAATCCTAATCGTTTCAACTAAAAAAGTATAGGGATTAATGTTTTTCTTGTAGGATATCTTTTTATTTCTTACATATATATAAAAATATATGGGTTCATGTGGAATTATGTGAAAAGAATAGAGAGAGAAAAAATTGGACTCTACATAATTTTATAATTTAACTTTTTAATATTTTAACACCAAAACAATGTCGTTCTAGGAATAAATGCAAATAACTTATCTGTAGTAACTACATAAATATTTTTCTGTAATTTTATGTATGTGTTGGAAATAAAATCATCTCCTACAACGTGAGAAACACTTATAAGATAGGATATTGTTGCTACCAAATAATGTTACTATCATATCTTAACCGTTGAATTCCGCCAATCAACTGTTATTATTTTCACAAATCAAATTCATTAATTAATTATTAATTCGCAATAAATGATAACCATTGATTTGCGGGAATCAATGGTTAAGATATGGTAGTAAGATTATTTGGTAATAACAATATCATATCCCTATACTTATTACGTACCACTAAAAAAGTTTACCAACTTACAACTAACTTAATCATCATTGGATCATAATTAAATCCAATGGCCAAAAATCAATCCTTATTATCCTAATTATCACAATTCATTCTCTCTATGGGTTTTTCAATTGCACATGTATCTCTCCATCCTCTCTCTAGTCTTCCAACTCCACATCAAAAATTGATAAATTCCACATGAAAAACTGATAAAATTATGTTACAATGATGCTTGCAACGCACACTCGCTTCCTCGAAGCTTCTCCTATTTTTGCCTCTATCTTCTCCCCTCTCGGAGATGAGAGAGAAAATCATTTTCATCCATTCAACCAATAAAAACCCTAGGCGAATGATCACAAAGTCAATTTGTTTCACAATAACATCTATCTATATCATGCTCAATGTTTAATTAATAAGTCACTGACAAAACGCATGGTGGTTTCTTAAACTTTCATAACTGTGCTCAGAGTGAGTGAAATGCTTAACTGCATTCCAACTACTTGTTGAATTGAGTGAGAGGAAAAATATAACAATAACAATAATTGTTTGTTTATTTGGCTCATGTTTTGATTTTATGTGCAGTCATTTGTTAGACTTAGAGAGAGAATTTGTCAAATCTAGAGAGGAGGTGAAAGAGGACGAAGAGTGATAATTAGTATTATAAGGATTGATTGTGAGCTATTGGATCAAATTATGATCCAACTATGATGGTTGTTTAACTGTTGTGATCTAGAGAGAGAATTTGTCAAATCTAGAGAGGAGGTGAAAGAGGACGAAGAGTGATAATCAGTATTATAAGGATTGATTGTGAGCTATTGGATATAATTATGATCCAACTGTGAGGTTGTGAGGGTGATAAACTTTTTCAGTGGTAAATATAACTATCATCAATAAATATAAATATATTTTATATTTTCATTTGGAAGAAGTAGGTCCATATTGGGCTTACCGGGTCACCGTACATCAGTGGCCTAAATTATTGGATCCGGATCTAACAGGCCCATCCCATGATCCAGATACGGGTAGGTCATAATAAAACCCTAGAACCCGAGAATTGATTTATTTGTGCCGAAACGAACCCTAACACCATTGTTGAAATTACAGAATACTTCACTCGCAAATCGCTCCTTGTGATCGGTATTCATATTGTCGAGAACAATGAAGGTGATCGCCGCCTATTTACTTGCCGTGTTGGGAGGGAACACGACCCCTTCCGCCGATGACCTAAAGGACATCCTTGGCTCTGGTATACCTTTTCTTTTTCCAATTTCAACCCTTCATGATAAACCTTTATTTTGTTTCATTTTTTCTCAATCATTGTCGTGTTTTTCAAATTTTTTTTTTGATTTGACAAAGAAATTCTGAATTTTCAATTTTCAGTTGGAGCAGAAGCGGATGATGATAACATCGGCGTTCTCTTGTCTGAATTGAAGGGTAAAGACATAGCAGAGGTTATTGCCTCCGGCAGGGAAAAGTTAGCCTCAGTTCCTTCTGGTGGTGGTGGTGCCGCCGTTGCCGTCGCTGCTGCTTCTGGTGGTGGCGGTGGCGCTGCTGCTCCAGCAGCCGCCGAATCAAAGAAAGAGGAAAAGGTGGAGGAAAAAGAGGAATCAGACGATGTAAGTTTTTTTTTTTTTGTTTTTTTTTGGTGCTAGTTTTTCCCCATGCTTCTTGCTTATTCTAATTATTTTATGTTATGTTATGTGATAGAAATAATTCTAAAATTTGTAGTTATGTTAGAGTATGATTAAATATATGTCTATTGCTGCTTATTATTGCTTTTCATTATTTTTTCAAGTTGGTTATGTACTACACAGGAATAACATAATGTAGTTTGCAAATTTCAAGCTTGTGCTGACTTGGGTTATATGTGAAGTATCTCATTGTTGATTTGTTGTGTGATGCAGGACATGGGTTTCAGTCTCTTTGATTAATTGGTAGGCCGTTCAATCTTTGTCCAGGACATATCCACAATCTATAGCTCTTTAGTTTTTTGTTAATGTAGTATTCATGCCAATGATCTATTTATGGTCTGAAGAATTCAGTTTAATGTTTTCAGTTTTCTTTCGTTATGTTATGGAATTTTTGTCTATGGTATTTATTTAATTTGCTATCAAATATTGTTCGTTGTTAGTGATTTTGGAAGACTCGAGAATTGCCAATTCCCTCATTTTGGGAAAAATCATTTTCATAGGTTCTGTTTTTATTTAAAATTACTATGAGTATATAATTAGAAATTTTTATATTATAAATACAAATATTATAAGAAATCAAAAATAATTTTTTATAAATAATAATACATTTAAAAATAAAAATATATAAATAAAGTTATATATATATATATATATATATATATTAAGAATATCAATTTTTAATTATTTATCAATAGAAATTTTTTATTGTCTATTTTTCTCAATAACTATTCAAAAATTGAATTTCTTTTTCTTTTTCTTTTTCATTATTAATTATCATAATTTCAGGAAAAGGGAGACTAAAAAAGAAAATAGATGGTGAAGCCCATTCTTTAGGAGATGAATCATAGGCAATTTAGTGTATAAAATTTCCCTCTAGGATCAATATTCTCTTGGTGGTGTTTTTGGCGTTTTGGAGGGAGAATTATGTGATTTGTCATTAGGGTTTAAGGTAAATTTTGTAATACAAATTTTAATGATTTGTCACGAGAATATAGGATAAAATTTCTAAATATAAATTTATAATTAGGATTCCAAAAAAGCAAGTCTACATCCTTATATCAATCACTTCCTCGGAGCTTATAGTTTTTTTTATTCATTAAAAATATTCTTTTTATGAAAATATCTTCAGCTTTTTGACTGTTTTGTCATTTATTAAGTAAAAAATAATCATTTTGTTCCTGTTTCAAAATTATACCTCAATTTATTTTTATTTTTTTTGTGAAAAAGAAAACATATTAATCGATTACAAGAGGGACTTAATAAATATTTAGTGTTGAAAAAATATAGTAATAGATTAATAAATATTTTAATCGATTAACTATCGGTCACTACATAACAATCGATTAACTATTGGCGCCTCGGCCAGCTGCAATTGAATCAACTAGACTTCAAGAACACACGGTCTTTCATCATGCTTGGCTAGTTGCAACCAGTAGACCGTCCCAAAACGCCCAATATTAGATCTACTCTACAACAATTACTGACCTGAGAAACAAACCATTTATTTCCTTCTATGTGAAATGACATGACAGCCATTCCCCTTCCTCAATCATTGTCAGCCTGGTCATTTGATAAGTCAAGTGTTACAGATATGACAAAATAGAATAATACGTGTATAATGTCAAAGACATCTTGAGTACAAATGTACAATACAATTGCAGAGACTTAATTTAACCACTCACCACGCAAGAACATATGGTTATGCCTGCAGTGGTCAATGCTGTAGTGACCTCAGCCATCATGCATGAAAAATTGTTTACCGGTGAAATAACAGTAATACAGTATGATTATTGTGTCAGAGAGGTCATCAACCAGAGCAGACACATACCATCTGGTATTTTGATTCCATCTGGTATTTTGCAGAGTAGATCTAATATTGAGGGAGTAGATCCTCTCATGTGAAAAAGTTGTCACGTGGTTATGTTATTTGATCATAACCACTCATTGGTGATGAGATAAGAGAGAGAAAAATATATAAGTTTTAAATGAGTGGTTGTGATCCAATAATATGACCACATGACCACTTTTTCACATAAGAGGATCCATTCCCAATATTGGATGTTTTGGGATGCTCTACTGGTTGCAGCTGGCCAAGCATGATGGAAGACCATGGTGTCCTCGAAGTCTAGTTGATTCGATTGCAGCTCTTCTTGGCCGAGGCGCCAACTGCAGTTTGCCCAACGATGGAGACCAATCCAGGGAACTAAGCTTCCACATCATCTTTTGTTAGAGAATAATATAAAATCTTAAAAATGCTCCCACCCAACACCTTAAGGTTTTGGATTGAAGTGATTCTTTACATCTTTGTTATGAAGTCACCGATAGTTAATCAATTAATATGTTTTTTTTTATACGATTAAGTCTCTCTTGTAATTGATTAAAAAAAGGGTAAATTGAGATATAATTTTGGAACAAGGATAAAGTTATTGTCTTTTATTTTAAGGGAAAAGTGTTTGTCATTTTAAATGACATAAAGTTATGTCATTTTAAGAGAGACAAACACAAATTTTTTTTTTATTTAAATTTTAAATTAAAAAAAATCACTCACTTTCTTTCTCCCATGATTTTTATTTTCCTGTGTCTATCTCTCTCCTGAAATGAGATAACTTATATCATTTAAAATGACAAACACCAAACCTTTTATTTAATCGATTAAATGATTATTTATATTCTGAAGCAAGAAAACAATAACCCATTGCTAGCAAGACGAAATAAAAAACAACGTGGTAAGGCTATTTCCACAAAGGCTGCAAACAGATTGGCGAGCAAAGTAGGTAAACACAGAAAATAGTCTAAAAATAGTAACTATAGTGAAAATGGCTAAGATAATGATGTGAGTAGACAAATTGTAAAGCATATCCCTTGCAATCGGATATCAAATTAGAAAAAACATTAAAAGTTTCCTTGTTGCATATATAGTAAATGAAGCCAAAACAGAAGTATTCTGAGCAAACTCCATGTGTTTTGCATCCTTCCAACAAGAAAATCATCATACTTTACTAGCAAAGGAAAGACCTTCCTTTGCAAGTTGATCCAAATTCTCTACGGGAGGCTGGACTCTAGCAACTTTAGCAATAGACTTGTTCTCCTCAGGAGTTCCACCCTCCAAAAATGCCCCAACAACTTTCCCGTCTTTAATCCAATATGTCCCAAACTTGCGGTTTGGTGATTCTGGATTATTGTCTCCAAATAGCACTGTCTCACCAACATTGTCGCCATAGAATTGCCAAGACAGATCAAATGCGCGAGAGTAAAAGTATGGGAGGTAATCATACTCCTCAACTATTTTTCCTTCCTCAGTTGCCTTGATGGCCTACATTAAACAACACAAATCACAAAATGAGAAACAGCATCAGCAAGCATGGCACTTGACAAGAGGCTTCCATTAGAAGGACCACCAAACAAAAAGTGAGGATAAATCTACGAAGTAGCTTGTGAAATCACTGCTTGTTTTAAGAAATGGTTTCCATAGTACAAAGGGCATGCCAGGGCATTATACATTCGAGTTTTGTGCATAATTGAAGAAGCTGAGAAAATTAACAAAGCTGCGCTCACCTTTACAGCCTGCTCAGCTGATTTGCGAGAATGATCAACGTGTTCAACTCTTCTCAATTCACCATACAATTTCAAAGGGAAAGTAGCCACATCACCGACAGCATATACATGAGGAATACTTGTTTTGAAGAAGGAATCAGTCTGGAATCAATACAAATGTAATTACGGTTATTGTTGACAAGATTCATCAATCACTTTTTAGGATAATTTATTAATAGACTGCCAAGCCTCTGGATATGGTCTCACTAACCTTGATTCCACCCTTCTCCTCTTCAACCTGTTCTTTGAACAAAGTTGTTAGAGGCCTTCCTCCAACACCAACAACAACAATATCAGCTTCCACGACCCTGCCATCCTTTAATTTAACTTCTTTTACCTAAATGATGGATGCAAAGCATGCTAAAGTTTGATTAGCAACTTTAAAATGTCATCCCATCCATACAAAGTTTAGAGATCAAATGCAACCATACCTCTCCATCAGAATTAGCAGTGAATCCAGCAGCAACGGTCCCTTTAATGATTTTTACCCCCTTATTTACATAGTATCCCTCATAGAAAGCAGCTATACCAGACGTAAACAGTCGTGGCACTGCAACATCAATCATATTGTTAGAATTTAAAATTTAAAGATAAGAAGAAGTTCATAATAAACAAATGAGCAGGACTTGGACAAAGAAACAGTTAAAAATATCCACTTACTACACAAGTTTATAATAAACAAATGAGCAGGACTTGGACAAAAACAGTTAAAAATATCCACTTACTACACCAAGGCTCTGGGTAGACCATGCTAACATCAATATTGTTGAGTCTCAACACTGCACTAAGCTCTAGACCAATGTATCCTCCCCCAACAATTACTGCTTTCCCATTCTTCTTTGCCTTGATGGCCTCATACAATTTATCAGCATCTTCAACCTCTCTCAAGTAAAAGATGTTTTTAGCATCAGCTCCTTGTACACCAAAATCTGTCAACCTTATAACCTGCAAAACAAGAGTAAGAAGTGTAAGTATGAGGATAAAGGATAGGAAATGAGGACAGCGAAGTGCCATCTCGTATTCTGATATACACAAGGATCCTTACTGTTGAGCCAGTTGCAATAATCAAAGTCTGGTAATTGATTATTTCTCCTCCGGCAGTGGTCAGAGATTTTGCCGCAAGGTCAGCTTTCACAATTTCTGTACTAAGAATTAACTCTATCCCTGCAATCACCAGTTCAATTTGCATGAGAAAACAGTTGTTAAGACCCTATCTTCTATTTACTTTTCTCTTCTTTTCACTTGACTCAACAGCCCAATATTGATTATTAAAACCATCCAATAAATATGCTGTATTAAGATAATGGGTGAAAAACCCAACATCACCTTTCTCTTTGTACCACTCAGGAAGCAATCTTTCTCCCCCACTTCCAACACAGACATGGAACCCAGGAAGCCTAGCAGGAGCTGCAAAATTCAATTGTGAATCAAGTTAAATAAAGAGTGAGATAAGCAAGGAAAATCTGATATTTGATGGAGAAATCAGCAGAGATGGCAAGCCCATGATAAATAAAAACAATAATAAACAGGTTTCATTGAATTCAATTCAAATTAAATTTAAAGAAATCGAAACAAAACAATTACAATACAACACTGTTGGCACCAAGACCACCTCCAAAAGGAAAGGTATAAAACAAGGGAAAAAGAATAGATGTGCAAATAACAGCAATACAGAACTTACACTCTGGAAGAAGATATGCTTTACTTAGAGCAGGGCGTTCATAAGGTGCTACCTATGTAAGAGAAAATAGCAGTATGAGGTTCACTTGATAGAAATTTAATAAAAAATTTCAGCACCAATGGGCTAAGGCTACAGTACACCACCATATCTAGATTCGACACCATGTCTCAATCCAAAACCTTAAGATTTTGAGTAAATGGGTCCTCACAATTATATAGACTTTACTTAGTCCATTACCAATCAACATGAGATTCGTTACACTCGAATATTGCAACAGATACTACAAGGCATATGCATAATGAATCTTCACCACCTTATAAAAGAAAGGGTAAATACCCTTTTTGATCCTTAGCAAATTTTACAATGCCCACTTTAGTCCCTAACAAATGAAAAGACTGTTCGTGGTCCTGAGAAATTCAAATGGATCTATTTTAGTCCTTTTGAGGGACTATGTGTGTTTTTTTTTGAATTTGTGAGGGACCGCGATTTCAACTAAATTGGTTCATTTTGAATTTCGTAGGAACCACGAGTAGCCTTTCTAGTTAGTTGCTAGGACTAAAGCGGGCATGCTGACGACCAAAAATGATATTTATCCTAAAAGAAAAGAAGAATCATTTTTATTAAAATTTAAAAAGATAAAGATAAAGAGCCTAACTGAAAATTGGTGCTCCAGCTACGAGATCCAAGAGTATCAGATCAACAAAACAATAGGTCCAAGTGAAATATGCAATATGCGATTGTTTCATATAAATACATAATCTAAAATTATGTATTTAGTAGCGTTAATCTACGATGCAAAATGCACTGCATATAAAGTGTACCGCTTCTTTGGATATGATAGCCAACTCCCCAGGCTTAAGTCCCTGTTTGGAAAACTCCCTTGCTGCATAACCCTGTGTTTGTTATAAGATTTGTATTAACTCTTACAGTTCTAAAAAAAATGAAGACAAAAGGATTATTTTGATGAAACCAATGAAAAAAATGAGAAAGGAAGAACTAACAGCGGCAACTCCTCCTCCGAGAATAACGTACTTAAAGCTCTTCGCCATTGATAATTGAATCGCTGCAATTGAAAAACTCTGTGTGTGAGTGAGTTTTTGGGTTTATGAGAATTCGGAGAACGGATGCCGTCGTTTTGTAGTGATCGGAAAAGCGAGTGTAAAAGGAATCAAATACACGTGGCGTCATGTGTTGACCTCTCTTAAATTTGTTTCCATTTTATACGCAACCATCGCTAATTAAGTTAAGGAGACTCGTCTGATTTAATCAAATTCATGGATAAGCTTGAGCTTCGTACATAATCGTTACTTTATGAAAAAATGAAATTGGAACCCTTCGCCAGCTCATGCATTAAAAATGCAAAACTCAGGGAATCACGACCGGGTTCATTCACTATGCTATGCCCACGAATACGAGCTATTATTTTTTAACCGATTCATGTAAATTGCTTCCCATTAAAGAATAAAAAAAATGTTTACCTTTCATACAACTCAAAACTACGTGGTTTTGAGGGTGAAGAGAATTAATGAAATGTATTTTAGTAATTTTATTTTTTTATATGAATTTTATCATAATACTCTTCATTTATTTCTTTAAATCTCAAAATGACATAATTTTAAAATTGCAAAAAATAACTTTTAATTCATATGGCTGAGAAATGATAAACGATTACTCAAAATGAATTTTAGACGGTGACTCAACTGCTTGTTCTTTAACCTAATGTATCATTTCTTATATTACATTAATTATACTTTATAAATGCACATTCACTATCAAAATAAAAACTCACTATACATCTATTCAAAACTAATTAAGAATTATACAATCAACATAAATTAAAAACTTTTAGAATATTCTTAATCCTATATTACTCGGCATAATTTGAACAGTATTAGATTATTTTTTTTATTTTAACATAAATTGAATCTAATTTAAATATTTATGATATGTGCATATGTAAACGTCTGTATAAATACGACAATTGGCAATGTGAATTCTGGTTTAAAGATTCAGGAATCTGAGTCAAAAAAGAAGAAGAAGAAAACTTTGGTAAGAATAATGATTAACAAGATCATTAAGTTTTGCCTTGGTAAAAGGAAAAGCTGAATTCTTTAGCGCTTTAAATTTCTCATTTGACTACAAATTGCCTTCTCATCATTTCTTTGAAACTACGACTTTTCATGAGAGCGAATTCAGGAATGAGTTCATTTTAATTAATTAAAATAAAATTAAAATGAGGCACTGTTTAAAAGTAACAAAAGACAAGGAGAAAAAGTCAAAGTATTCTGTCCTTGAAATCCCTCATAAGAAAAAGGCTCGTTTTCGGTGGGGAATTAGTTTTTATCTTTTTTCTGGCAACATAGATTAATGCATCTATTGTTTCAATAAAAAAAAGAAGATAATCTTGGTGGCGATACTCCGAAGACATGGTGGCATAAAAAGGTTAAATAGGATACCTTCAAGTTTTTTTTTTTTAAAAAGTCAAAGTATTCTGTACAAATAATTAATAATAAGTGAAATGAAATAAAGTGATATAAAACTAAATAAAATAAAATTATTACACTGTTATATAGATATTTTATGATAAGATTAAATAAAGATTTATTTAATTATTCGAGAAATAAATAAAATAATAAGAGTAATAAGGTTTAATGATAAATAAATATCTTACATCTCTTCAAATTAATTAAGAGCGAGGTTAATAAATAAGACTCACAAATCACAGAAAAATTATATGAACTACCGATGCCAATGGTAACATCGGATACCAAGAATTTGATTAATTTTTATTATTATTATATTATACAAAAGCAAATCTCAGATTGCCTGTTTTCAAGTTGGAGGCATTATTTGAAGAAAGATCGCGTGTAGCTATCAGCCGAAAAAGGCATGGGAAGCCACTGTCAATGGTCAATACAGGACGAATAATTATTATTATTTTAAATTCCCACCACACACTTTTACATTTAAAGAATACATACTCATATGTATTTTTTGTTTTCGGCACATGAAATATTAATTTATTATTACACTTTTGAAATTTGATTTTGTTGTATTCTCTGTGCCAACAAGTGGGGCCCTGTCTCTGCACTGAACACAATCAGTGCCATTGCTGAAAACGGAACAGGAACAAACGTTGTTCATCTCTCTCTCTCTCTCTTTCTCCCCATTCTACCCGAGCTATCCTCTATGGTTTCGATGCGTTTCTAGGGTTTTTTTTTTCTTGATTCGATCAGTTGAAGCTGCAACGGCAATGTACTCGTCTCTCTTGGCCTTTGCTTCCACCTGCTGGTACTGCTTCCTTTTTTTTTTTCATTGCACTTTGTATGCTTTATTTTAATGCTTACTCATCGAACCAATACGTATGCATATATACTACACCCTCTTATTCTGATGAACAGTGTTCGCTTATGTATATAGATATTTTATTTTATTTATTCATTTTTTATTATTTTGTTTTCTTTTGGTGAGTTTTTGTTGTGGCCATTTTTCGGGAAGCAAATCGATCCTGAATTTATAGGACTACCTCTCCTTTTCTTGATTGGATAGTGGCGTACTAAACATGAACAGGAACTGGCTTACAACTTCGCTTGGCTCCACGTTTCTCCTGATCTGTTGATTGAACAGATTCGTGATGTTGTCATGCTTTTGTATGAACAACAGCCTGTGCATTAATTATAAGCAAGGAAAATTGTTATGCTTAGCACTGCCTGAACATGCTGTTATTTGGTCCTAATGTTTTGCCTCTTAGTGTATGTTTGGTTGGGGAGGGTGTTTTTGGGAGTTGGGAGGGGAAGGAATGAAAAGAAAATGAATGGGAAGGGAAGAAAATGGTTTTAAGGAAGGTTAAGTAATATGTTTGCTTACACTTGTTTGGATCTCTAAAATCCTCCGAATTGCTGAATACTTGAATTCATGTATTTGTTTTTTTTGGCATCATCTTCAAATTAAATTGAAGGGGGACCATGTTAGAGTTGTTGCCATGTGTGATGTGTCCTAGAGGTTATAAGTTTGATTCATATAATCAGCCTCTTGCAAATGCAAGGTAAGGTTGCCTATTATATACTATTCCTTGAACTCTGTACAAAGCGAGAGCTTTATTGCACCGGCTTGTCCTTTGTTATCTTCAAATTAAATTCAGAGTGTAAACTATTAGAATTGTGACAATAAAAAAATGTCAAATTATCTGTCAACTCGATTCCTTTACTCTTTCTTTTTGCATAAATTACTGTTTTAGTATTATATTTTGATTTGCTGATGCTTTCAAATGTTGGTCACTGTATCAGGGTTTGAAATGTCATATAGCTGATAAAAGGAGTTTGTACCATTCAGGATTCAATTTTGATTTGACCATAGAATGCTTTGGAGTTGGAAGTTGGACGTTGGGTTCTCTTTCCTTGAGTTGGGATCTTATGGTGTCTGATATGTATGAAATGAATGTGACCTGAGCACTGAGAGTCGACATGTTTGTGTTATCTCTACTGTGAAAAAGTCTGGTTGAGCTATTTATCTTGTAATGGGTTCATCCTCTGGCACATGTGAAATAGTTGAAGAAAGGGAAGAGCTAAATACTGGGAAAGCTGTTGGGATTTATCTGTCCAATTCTGAGAATAGCACGTCTGAGAAAAATCAGAAGCTTTCAGCGCTGAAACTGGGAAACAAGGATAATCTAGATGATGATATTAATAAGCTGTTTGAATCAATTGCTCTTAAATCTTCAACAAGGGATTTGGGTGTTTTACGAGATGGTACAAGCCCTAAGATGAAAAATGTATTGAAAAATCAAAACGCAACGTATATTTCTCGGTCCCCACGAGTTGGGAGTTCTGAACATGTTAATTTAAAGCAGGCATTAAGAGAACTTTGCATATCTAAGGCATCAGAAATGGCTGCTATGAAACGATTATCAAAGTCAACGGCTTCTCCAAGAATATCAGAGGGTGAGAAGATACAGACATTGTATAATTCGGTTCTAGCTGGAACTAGTCGATCTGGGCCTGCTTTTGTTGAGAATAAGGGGAGTATAATTGAAATATCTCTAGTGCCAGAAAAAAGCAAGTCATTTTCCTTGGAGAAAACATCTCAATCTCATCAAACTGCCCAAATTAAATCACCGAGCCAAAACATTCATTCTTCTTGGGAAATTGCTGTTGCAACTACTCAACATGATTCTGGGACTTCATTGATGCAAAGTGATTTGGCATGTTCATCAAGTAAAGTTGGGGTTCAACCACTGCAAGGTGTGCCTGTTCTGACAGAAAAAGAAACATCTGCATCTTCTCCTCCTCTTTATAATATGTCCGGAAGCAAACTAGAGTTGTCCAAAAATGCTTCTTCCCCTAAAAAGTCAGGAAAGAAAGCGTTTGTGTCAAATACTGGGCGGAAAGTTAGGTTGCAAACACTATCTTCATCTACTTCTGTGAATGGAAACAGAGTTAACAAACTGCCACGCCATGGCCCCCGAACAGTTAAATCAGTCATCAAGAACAAGAATCTGAGTAAGAAGAACCTGGAGGAGGATTCAGGTTCTGCTTTATATGATCCTACATCCAATGAAGTTATTAAGTTAGTTCCTGGTACAACTCGGCTGGTTTGTGAGAGATGTAGGTGTGCTTTAGAAAATACAAGTGAAGAAAAAAATCAAGATATTATGGCATCGGACTCTACCAGTCTTGGGAATGGAGTAATCTTGAGTAATGTGCACTCTGGTTCAAATAAACCTGGTTTGGAATCAACTAGCAGTAATAAAAACAGGGCAGTTGCAAAAGTGAAGAAGAACACCAAGTTGAAAGAGCAACTTGAATTTTCACAAAGTTCAAATAGTAGTCAAGGTGAGTACAGTAGTAGTACAAGTACCAGTGATGAGAGCAATGCGAGTGGCTCAAGTTGTGGCACTAGGCCTCACATGTCAAATGATGTTAGATGGGAAGCCATACGACATGCTCAAATACAGCATGGGGTATTGGGCTTGAGACACTTCAATCTTTTGAAGAAACTTGGTTGTGGAGACATTGGGGTCGTATATCTTGCTGAACTAATTGGCACAAGTTGCTTGTTTGCTATTAAGGTCATGGACAATGAATTTTTGGTGAGAAGGAAGAAGATGCCTAGGGCTCAAACTGAAAAAGAAATATTAAGGATGCTGGATCATCCATTTCTTCCCACACTGTATTTGCAATTTACATCAGATAATCTGTCATGTCTGGTCATGGAGTATTGTCCAGGTGGAGATCTTCATGTACTAAGGCAGAAGCAGCTTGGTAGAAGTTTTTCTGAGCCAGCAGCAAGGTAGGATACTAAGAACAAGTGTCCAGTAATATTTAGCATTTTATTTTCTTCAGATTGTATGCAACCTCCCACCTGCTAGATTTTAGGTGTGCAACAAATGATATGATAGCTTAAGTATTTCCTGGTATAAACAAATATATTTAATTTGCATAATTGCTCTTGCTGGAATATGCTCGTACTCATTCATATGTTTTGTTATGCGTATCTGCTATATCTGGTACATTCTATAGGGTTTTTACTTGTTTCTTCTTTATAATATATGCTTTATTACTGCACTCTATGACTCTGTCAAATATGGTTCTATGAATTTTAAGCTGTTGCCTTAATTAAGAATACTATATACACTGTTGCAGCTTGTCTAACTTGAAGAATCTTTGTTTACTTGTAAATCTTGAAGTTATGAAATAAAGTCAGTAGTTTGTTTCACTTCGATTGTGCTTCAGTATTACTTGCAAATTATCCATTCTTTGTTAATAGAAACTTTGTTCCTTTTATAAATTTGTCAGATTTAAAACAGATAACAAAATCCTGTCTTTTTTTTTTTCATTTTTTTTTTTTTCGTACTTTTCATTTTGGTTCATCGGCCACCGACCCCAACTTGTTTGAATAAAGGTGTTGTTGATGTTGACGTTGATGTTGAACAAAATCGTGTTCCTTATTCTGTGGTTGGTGATAGATGATTTTTTAATTAAGATGACATGTTAATGTCATCTCCTCTATATGCTGTTGTGCAACTTGCTTGCGCTATGCTTGTTGGCTGTTGATTTCCTTTAGGCATGCTTCTGCCAGGATTGTAATCTCCTCTCACTGCCACTGCACTCTGTATTACTTAAACCTGGTAGCATTCTCCACTACTGTGACCTATGTTCTTTTATCCTTTGTTTAGCATTTACAAAGGAGAGAATGTTTCAATTATTGATTAGTTCTGGTAACAATTTCTTTTTGCACCATATGGTGGAAGCATCAATTGGCTGTTTCTGAAACTTCCATACATGCATCATGCAGGTTCTATGTTGCTGAAGTCCTTCTCGCTTTGGAGTACTTGCACATGCTTGGGGTTGTTTACCGTGATTTGAAACCTGAAAACATTCTTGTCCGAGAAGACGGCCACATTATGCTCACAGATTTTGATCTGTCACTGAGGTGTGCTGTTAGCCCAACGCTTCTGAAATCATCTTCTGATGTTGACCCTGCAAAAATATCGGGTCTTAGTGCACAGTCAAGTTGCATTGAGCCATTCTGCATTGAGCCATCTTGTCAGGTTCCATGCTTCAGCCCTAGATTCTTACCTGCTGCTGCAAAAGCAAGGAAATTAAAAGTTGACCTTGCTGCCCAGATCAGATCATTGCCACAGCTTGTGGCCGAGCCCACTGATGCAAGATCAAACTCATTTGTTGGTACACATGAATACTTGGCGCCTGAGATCATCAAAGAAGAGGGACATGGAGCTGCAGTTGACTGGTGGACATTTGGTGTTTTTCTATATGAGCTTTTATATGGTAGAACACCCTTTAAAGGTTCTAACAATGAAGAAACATTAGGGAACGTTATGTTGCAAAATCTTAGATTCCCTGACAGTCCAACTGTTAGTTTCCAAGCCAGGGATCTGATTAGCAGGTTGTTGGTTAAAGAGCCTGAAAACCGTTTGGGTTCAGAGAAAGGGGCTGCTGAGATTAAACAGCATCCTTTCTTTGATGGCCTTAACTGGGCCTTAATACGTTGTTCTGCCCCACCAGAACTTCCAGAGCTTTGTTATTTTGGAGTTTCAGACATGACCTCACAGGGCAAGGGTGCTATGTATTTAGAGTGTAAAGCAACAGGAGAGCATGTGGAATTCGAGTTGTTTTAAAGACACTGCTCTATGTGGCATTGCTGTTATGCATTTCCATGTTTATGGCTCCATGCTCTTTGTGTCGAGCTGTAACTTATATGTAAGCCTATGTTGCAAATTAGTTTTGATTATATAACATTAACTTGGATTAGGAGATTAGGAATTAGACAGTTAAGGTCATATGGCAACTTGACGTCTAATAAATTTGGAAGAAAAATATTCCCCGAGTAAGAAATTACACTAAGGGCAGGACAATATCCTACCATATTAATGCCAGACTATTGAAATGAAATTATATCATGTCTATTTCCTCAAAAATACGAATCCTGAGATGCAAATGCTTACCAAAATGTAAGTTTATTTTATGCTTTTAATGTTTCTGCTATGGATACATTTTTTTTTTCGTCATATTTATATAAAAATGAGTAAGTTTTATTAATTTTTTTTTCTTTTCTTTGTAATGGGACTTTTCATTTTTATGTAAGTGTGATAGCTGAAATTCCCCCCCTTATTTTATAGAGTAGTGAGATGTAAAAAAAAAAAAATAGCTGCGTGAAGAAGGAAAAAACCGGTCGAGGGAGAAAAACAGAACCAGATTATATTAAGAAACTCATAAATCATAATTCAAAGCGTTTCAGTTTCAGTCCAAAATTCATTCACAAACGCGATAACAATGCTGGATAATTTAGTTACAGTTAGTATTTTAATTAGCCACGGTACTCACCATGACTAATTTAACTAGACGACGGACTATTTGACAGTGATATATTGTCGTTTTTGTAAGTCCGCCGTAAGAGCAATCAGAAGCGTCGTTTAACCTGCAGCTGTCGTGAGCGACGAGGAGCATAACAAAATAGCAATTTGTATTCCGATTCGGAGCTACGGTCACCACGCTAGCGACTCGTCCATGGAGGCCTCAGATGATGATGAACATGTTATCCTGGTTTGCACAAACCCTGATCCAATTGAATCGACTGAGAACCAAAACGAAGAGATTCTTGTGTCGACCATAGATATTCTCATTTGTGATTTGCCAACGATTCTGAGTTTCCGGACGATCAAAGTTCAAGCACATCGCAACAGGTTCGTTATTTCTTTCCCTTTCTCTCTCTATATATTCAACCACTCAAACACACTCGCTAATACTTTCTGTTTGTTTCTCGGGAAAATAAAAGAATCCAACGAGATGGCAATTTAACTTAACTTTTTGCTCATGCCTCAAGTGTCAGTTAAGCTGCAATTGTTTTCATTCTATGTGCGACAGGCTCATTGAACAATCACTGTATTTCCGGGGCCTCCTCAGCGGGAGCTTCAGGTAGACAATATGCTAATATTACTCTTTTTTTTTTTTGCTCGTCATTCTGTTTAATTGAACTCGAGAGCTTGCATAAACTATGATTCTGGTTACTCGTGTAGTGAATCATGCTTGGGCTATATCACTATCAAGTGGAATGTTGGTGTATTTATGCAAATTCTTAAGCATATGTATGGCTGCCCATTGGATATTACTCCGGATAATGTCCTCCCTCTTTATGAGGTACATGGTTTTTGACATTTATACATCCAACTTTTTTTTAGTCTAATGCTCTCGGTACAAGAGGAGCTGTCATATTCGTCAGGCATTCCGTGACTGTAATGTTCTGATTCTTTATTTTATTTCAGGAGTTTAAATTTGTAACTAATATATTCGTCATTTTCTCAGTCTAATGGCTAATGCTGTTGGTATTTTTCTTGTATGTCTCAGGGTGCGCTTTATTTTGGAGTGGAGACACTTATCTTGAAGTGTGAGATGTGGTTTTCTGAGGTATTTTCACCCAAAGGATTTCAATCAACCCTAATAAAAATGGAGGATTTGATCCAAATTTGGAAATTTGGCTTGGATCATGGTAAACTTTTGTTATTTTTACATTTTTAGTGGCAAAAAGGATTAACTTGCGACTTCAGGACTTTAGTTTTCATTTTTGGCTATAACATTATGGGGTTCATTCTAACAGTTTTTCATATTATGCATTGCTTTTGCAGCAAGTGACTTTATCCTGCACTTATGTGTGGACTACCTAGCAAGAAATTTTGTATGTACTCAACTTCTTTCACTAGAGCTTGAGCAACAAACAGTAATCTCATGTTTCTCCTTAATTATAACTTTCTGCCTGTTGGAATGGTTGTTCAATTGCTAATAATACATGGTTATATTTCCTCATAAAATAAATTTTATGTGGTGCTTTTACTTGTATATTGATTAGACTCTTTTTATTGCTGAAATTTTTGACTAATGATCCATACATTATTACATTGGTATACCTTTGGTGACAATTTCTTTAGAGTTGTTCTTCCAGGACATGTGGATTCCAAAACACGATATGATATCACAGGGAAATGAACTGAGACCTATGTCCTTTATATTGTGATTTTATTTTATTCATGCATGGTGGTGTCTTTTATCTTGTAGTTTTTTAATGTGCATCCTCATGATACAGTGCCATCGAGTAACATTTTCTTTTCATAAAACTATTTGTGAGCCATGCTTGAATTTGAAAACTCAAAAGTGGAGGTTTGGATATTAAAAACAGACTTCTGCTAAAGATCAGATACATTGATACTATTAGTTGGATGACATAAGGAGAAATCAAAGGCAGTTACACACTTACCTCTTTATATTTCAAGTAAGCTAGCTTAGATAAGCACCTTCAGTTAACTTGTTTGGTAAATAAGATGTGAACTTTATGTAGTCTATAGTTGCATAAGAAATTCACAAAACACTTGTATCTGGGACTTGAAAAAGTCAATGGTTAGAAATGGAAGTTGTTAGTTAGATAGATAATCCTCATCCGTGAACAAAATTGAGAGAAAATGTGTGAGCGATTGATTGAGGAACAGAAGACTTATTTAATGGATGCTTGCTATCAGATTGTTTTAGTTTATTCTTTTATAATTTTATATTAATTACTGTAGGAACATGAAATGAAATAAAAAAGGATTTTCATATGTCTCCTTTTTACTTACTAGTTGAAAAATAAAAGAAAAGAATATGTTAAAACAAGGAAGCTAGAATTTGTTTCTTGATTTTCGCTCTGCTAGGCTAAACAATGTAGGTAGAAGTAAAAATTTTGCCAACATAACTCGGGATGGATATTTCTGATATGGGCTCTGGTCAGCCTGTCTAAAAATTTTAAGATTAACGACTATGAAACACAAAATATCCTACTTCTTTCATTCACGTTTTACTGGATGTGCTTTTATTGCTTTGCCTTTTTGGACATCAGTGGGGTTCGCTTCTTTTCCTGTTTCTGTTAGCTAAAAATCACTAGATGCTCTGTTATACTTTAAAAGTGGTCTGGGGATTACTTTTCAGTCAACCAAATAGTAATATATCTTTTCTGCTTTTTGTTACACTTGATTTTATTTTATTTAATTAAATTAGACATGATATTTTTTAATTCTCTTGTTTTGCAGATGTGGGCAATGCATAGCAAATTTTTTGGAAAAATTCCATATGACCTGCTGTTATCTTCAGTAAAGCACCCTCACTTGACTGTTGACAGGTTGACTGATTATTTATGAAATTGTTTCATTCAATCCCTTGTAATTTAATATGTAAATTTAAGATTCTAATGTTGTAGTATATTGACAGTGAAATGCATCTTTCTGATGCACTTCTTCTCTGGCTTGAGAGTAACATGGAAAATTTGGAGAGGCCGAGCAAAGCTGAAGACAACTGCAATGAAATTTTAAAACAAGTGAGATCATATGCCTCATTATTGATATTGAGGCCTTGAATCTATTCTTTAATGGAAACAGTCTTAGGAGAAAAATACACGAAGAACCCTACCAAATCCTATTTTTTCCATCTGCTAAACAACTGGATATCCCTTTACCAAATTACTAAACGTGAATGATATCAATGATATGTAATTTATGGACAAGGTACTTTTGAAATTATAGGGAAAATATGTAAAGGAAAAAAAAAATATTACTCTGAATAATTTGTGAAATGGTATGTTGATGTATAAAAAAACACAATCATAATACTCCTATTTATACTAATAATCTAGGTCAAATACTACTACAACTAGTACGAGCTTCGCCCAATAACACTATTAACATAATAATAACAATTTTAAAACATCAAGAATCCTAATATTCTTCAATGTAATAACAAGAATCTTAAAACATTTAGAATCCTGATATTCAAACTGTCTGACAGTTGCCACAAGACTTTAATGGAATATGCATTTTGTTTCCATTTGTGGTTTGATATAGAAAGGAATTTCTCTATTGCTCAAGCCACAATTCTCATATGATTTATAGTCGTATGAAGAAACTCTATGTTGCACCGACACCGATACAGGACACGACACTCTGACACGTCAATTCTAAAAAATGCTAGATTTCGACATGTTAAGACACGTTTTGATATTAAATAAATTTTTAATTTATGTAGTGTATATTATATTTAATATTCAATAATTTAACAAAAAAATGAGCTAAACCTATAATACTCATCAATTTTGTAAAGAAACATAAGATATACCAAATATTTATATTAAATTCAATAAAATGGTAATCGTAATCCAATGAATCTAATAGTTGGAACTAAAAAAGCAACGCAACTCAACCTTTGAACCTTTTTTTGAGTCTCTGCAATGCGTGTTGGAGTGTCGGGAAGTGTTGGACACGACACGTTAGAGTTTTTGAAGTGTCGGTGCATCATAGAAGAAACTCCTTGCATGGAGCGTAACTTGATCTTGGTTTATATATGCTATTCTCAGCTCAGTTTAAGCTGTATACACTGTCATGTAGTTGATGGATATGTCACATAGGTTCTTCTGAAAAAAAGAGAGCAAATACTTTGATCATTACATGTTTAGTAAAAATTACTTACATCTCTCTTTTGTTTTACAAACCTACAAAAGCCCTACCCAAAAGCTATGTAGCACTGACACTTCGACACGCTCAGACACATTTTAATACGCTTCGACATGGTGTCTGGCACGTGGTCAACATTCCCGACACGTTGACCAATTCGACACACGAATTTGACCGTGTCCGACACGGTCAAATGACATTTTCGTAATAAAATTATGATTTTTAAAAATTAAAATATATTAATAAAATTAAAAAACATTTAATAAAAACTTAAAAATCACCGTTTCTGAACTTTTGAAGTTCCATTTGGATCCTCTCACCCTTGTCTCTCTCTCTCTCTCTCTCTCCGGTTCCATAGAATCCGGTAATGGCCGATGTTTTTATTCTCTCCGATTCTAAAATCATCACCCACGAACTGAAAAATGCAACTGCCATAGTTCGTTGAGCTTCCTTCTCACTTCTTGTTCTGAGTTTCCTTTTCATCCTCCTCCTTAGCCCTTTCCCGGTCGTCGGAAACATTCTCCGGCGTACTCAGAGTGACCGGAGCATCTTTGAATTCTGTTTTGCATCGATTTACTTCTGTTCAACTGCAGAATCTTTGTTCATTGAAGAAGCTCTTCTTTCGCTTTTTTCTCTTTCTAGAACTCTATAAACCTTCCGATATTGCATCTTTAACCGGTTTGCTTACATCTTTAACCATCGCTGGAAGAGAATCTCCGGTGACATTGAAACAATATTAATTGACTATAGTTTTGCTAGTATTAATAAAGTGCAGAAGTAATAGCAAAAATCACTGTTTCCTTCCCCTACATGGGATTTAGATTTTTGTAAATCTTTTTGGATACCAATGGTTTTGACTACAAATTGGTTTAGTTTCTTTTTATATTTGAGTTATTGAATATGAAATATCTACTATGTAAATTAGAAATATTATTTAATATTAAAACGTGTTCCAACGTGTCAAAATCTAGATTTTTTTACAGTTGACGTTTCGGAGCATCATATGGTGTCGTGTCGCGTGTCGATACTACATAGCCCAAAAGTGTAAGAGAACAACCATATTTTACTATGAAAGAACAATACTCATGAAATATGATCATCTGTTATTGAACATGGTTGTTCCGTTCAACTGTAAGGATTTCCATGGCCTTTACAAGAAAAGAGCAGTCTGTGCAAAACTGCAATGTAATATAAATCTTGTGTAATTTAATCACACAAAAAAATGAAAAAAGTTGCCCAAAAATACACTCAGAAATTGGCTGGTGTAAAGAGTATTATTTACTGATGCACATGGATGATTACAAGCATTGGCATACACAAGGGGTTCAAATGGAGCAGCCCTTGACTGCCCCTAACCTCCAATGCCTATCCCAAATGATGCTGTCTTCTCCCCAGTCTCTATCTCCCTTCTAATACTTCTTGCCTTTATGTAGTTATCCTCCTATATATATTCCATGACAAATTTATTGATCCTTCCTCACACATACATCAAATATCGCAAGAGTTTGTGCTTATTTTTCAAAAATATGTAGATAAAATATTTCTTCATTGTTCCACATGTAATTATATTTTCATCAACATGATGTAAATGTAATTATTATATCATTTAATTTATTTTGAGACATAATTATTAATTAATCAAACTCATAATTTTTATTTTTATTTTTCCATCTAATTTCTGGCTATGCCATGACGACGAGTATGCTGTATACATTACCATGACATTTATACTTAAATCTTGCATAACCTTTTACTTTTGGTTCTTAACAGATTCGTGTGGGCCTTTTGCCTTTGTGGTTTGCTGCAGGTATACCATTTTCTTGAGCTTTTACCCAAAGCATTTAAAAGTCTTTATTCTTCATGCAGAAATTCCTAGATGATGTAAGGAAATTTTTGTATGTGTTTAACAGGAAAAAGAAACTCTCTTTATTTTAGGCAGCAGGCTGAGGAAAGTCTTGATTCAATTTTTAGACCACTAAGTATTCTACCTATGGGCTCTCTAGATATTTTTGGGTATAGTGACTTGCAAGTACAACATCTCAGGATTCGACTGACAGAATATTTGAAGGTGCTTTTAGTACTTGGAAGCCGCTTAATGATTTTGGCTTTGTTTATTGTGTTCATTTGCTTGAGCTAAGGTGCCTTTAATGCTTAGTATTTACAATATTGCCTATTTTTACAGAAAGAAAAAAAATTGATTACTATCTTGCATTGATTTCACAACCCCATCCTCGCTAGTTGGGGTTTAATGGAGAGTTTTTTTTATTTTTTTATTTTTATTAATTGCTGGTATATATTTTGTTATTGAACTTATTAAAGTAGAATTATAAAATGAATAGGCAACTTCCCTCCCTAGCCCATCCCAACTTAAGTGCAAAATATATATGTCAAAGATGATACTATCTTTTATTTCTTTTGATGAGATGGACAAAAATATAATACAAACATTGCAAACTCCTTATTTGACAAGATAAGCATTGCATGGGCATAAGTCCACTTTTGTTGAATGTCAAGAAATCAATAAACGTTTTTGTAAGGTTCATTATTCTTCTAGCTGCATAACTTCAATGTGTTTGGTATTTTGACACTTAGTAAATCAATGTTTTGTTTAAAGTATCTATTGGTTCCTTCTGGTATTTGGTTTCAGTATTTGCAACTGCTATTTAAGCACATCATTTCGTATACATGTCTTGGGCCAACTAGTCTTTCAGTTTACTGCAAGGAGTCTGTGATCATCTATTAGGAATGCTTTCATGCTTTTGTGATGCAAACTTTCATTGCGTGCAGAAAGTGAACCTTTCTGGTTGTCCGCAAATAACGTCTGCAATACTGCTTCTGTCAGTCATCCCTTCATCATATCTGACGGATCCCATGCAAAAGAAGATTATAAAACAGTTCTTTATTAATTCTGGACATCCTATAAGAGATGAATGTGCATTCCCACAACAGCTGTTAAAAACCTTTACCTTTGAAGCAGTTCAGGAGGTGGATATCTCAAAGTGTGGAAGATTGTGTATTGAACATGCTGTTGATTGCTTCTGCAAGTCCTTTCCTTCTTTAAGAATATTGAAAGCAGCTTATCTTTTAAACATCAGGACGACCAGTTTCCTTCAATTATTGGAAAAGTGTCCTTTGATCTGCGAAATTGACTTGACTGTTGATATTACTCCACTAATACCAGCATTAGTTACAGTTTTATCTTCTAGCTTTAAATATATAGCAGTGGAAACCATGTCATTTAATGAAATTGGATCTCCGCTTTCTAATATTACAAAACTCACATTGGAAGGAAGAACTGATGTCTGTGGTAGGATGCTTTTCTGGTAAAAATTATTCATGTTGGACCTAAATAATTTTGTTCTAGTGTTAGATATTGACTTTGTTAATAGCCAATGAATTATTTTATTTTATTTCTTATTGTCCATGCCAGATTTGGGTCTCCAGTATATCTCCAAATTTTGTGTTTCATTGTGTCACCTGAATATTAAAGGATGCATTTCAGTCACTGATATTGGCATATCAGATCTCATACTCAGATGTAAAAAACTTAATTCAATTGTGGTTTGCGATACTTCATTTGGGATAAATTCAGTTCAAGCTCTTTCCTTAGCTATTTCTGATGATGGCAACTTTTCCTCTCTACATCCTAAAGATAAGCATTTGAATTCTGTGGTGTCTAATCTTCAAACACTGCATATGGGTGGCTGCAGGGGTAAGTTGTATTTCTATTAGTTTATTTTGATGAACTGCCAAAATGAATCTGTAGATACTTGTGTTCTACAAATTTTCAATAGAGGCTTTTTGATACCTTTTACTGGCTGCATATGTTTATAACACTCAGAAGTTATTGAGGCATTGCATAATATACTTTATCTCATTTGGATCAAGTTTTATATGAAGATGGTTTGAACAGAACAAAGGACTGATAAATGAAGATGGTTTGACTTACCTAGTTTTGTGTGATACGATGAAAAATCTACATTTTCCTTGCTGTATATCTTGCTTTTGATGCAACATAACTTTAGTCTAGTAATAATGATGCTACCATTGCTCTGGGTCACCCTTTTAATCTCTCAAGAGGCCTTAATATTTTTATACCATGAAGAACTAGAGGTTCAGCCTACCAATTTTTTATGTTTTGTTTCCAGACTTTGGCCTCACTTTTAAGGTGAAAGAAGTGACATGAGTAGTAACCTGATCAATCAATTATTGTTTAAGCATAATAAGGGACTAATAGTTTATGCTTATAGTTGAAAACAGCTTATACAGCACCAAGTACGGTTAATTTGAAAGGGATATCTTACAATGTCGTAAACTTTTAGTTCTAAATTCAAAAAGATATGATATATTAGTTGTTTTGTAGGTATTTGTGAGTCATCTATACTAGAGCTTATGTCTCGTGCACAAGTTTTGAAGAGTTTATGCCTGAGAGGGACTGAGCTGTTTGACCAGGCACTGTATAATTTCATAGGTTCTTCCTTGGAGATGCTTGATGTTTCAAATACCGAGGTTTGTTGTCAAATTTGTGAAAGTTGGCATGTTTTTGTCTGTCTTTGTCATGAACCAACTATCTCAAAAAGTTCAAACTGTTAGATGAAGATATATGATTAGTTTTTATATTTATATCTCTAACACGCCTTTTCACGCAAGAGCCCTTTCGGCTTGATTTACTTGTTGACAATGCCAAGACCCGCCTATCTTGTACTAAGAAATTTTATAATATTTATTAGAACAATGGGGCAACAAAGATCGAACTCTAAACCAAGGTCATGGAGGCATTGATACTATATCACGAACCAACTATTTCAAAAGTTTGAACGGTTAGGTGAAGATATATGAATGGTTTTACGGAGCAGACAGTGCCACCATGCATGATTGGGGCTACACAATGCAGAACAGAAACCACGTGTGTGAGAGCTCAATGCACCAGGGTCTTGGACTAATGGGCTCTTCTCATTGGTGCAATTTAGATCTTCTGTTCACTGGCCAATTTTTTTTTTTCCAATGGCTGGAAAAGTTGTCAGAGAAGATGCAGCGGGTTGCCGGAAGGACGATGCTGCAGGAACTATCGGAAACTTGAAAGACGACACTGTTTCCGCAAAAATTTTAAGGGAGTGTAATCGGAATATTTGCTTCCATTCTAATATACAACTGCAAATTTATTTTAGTCTGATAGATGGTAGTTAAGACCTATGATGCACTGACACTTCAAAAAACCTGAAGTGTCGTGTCCGATACTCCAAACGTGTTGTAAAGACTCAAAAAAAAGTTCAAAGGTTGCGTAGCGTTGCGTTTTTAGTTCCAACTATTAGATTCGTTGAATTACTATTAGCATTTTATTGAGTTTAATATAAATATTTGGGATATCTTATATTTCTTTGCAAAATTGATGGATATTATAAGTTTGGCTTCATTTTTTTGTTAAATTATTGAATATTAAATATAATATACACTACATAAATTAAAATATTATTTAATATCAAAACGCGTCCTAATGTGTAGAAATTTAACATTTTTTAGAATTAACATGTCGGAGTGTTGTATCGTATCCCGTGTCCTGTGTCGGTGCAACATAGGTTAAGACTTACATGACTAGTTTCCACCTAAAATAACTAAGCATGATTTATATGTCTCTTGGTGATGAATAGTAACTGTTGTTTTAGATGCATTAACTATTTACTTACACAGTAAACCTTTATACTTGCTTTAATTATAAAAGCTAAGTCAAAGTTGGGCAGTGTGTAGTTCAATTTCATTGCCTCTAGTACAAAATCCCCATTTGTGCAAATATCTTCTTTTTGCTTAATCGATCTATTTGCTACCATTTTATCATACAAAAGTTCTGCAGTAAATTGTGATTGTTTTGCTGTGACATTTGGGCTGATTCTGACACCACGGAGTACACATATCTAGTATTTTGCATCCGTGCTGTCATTATTTTATCATAATTGACTTTGTTTTCTCAATTTTATTTATTTATTTGTGAACTTGCAGATTTCTGGAGCTGCATTATCTTATGTTATTCGCAGAAATCCACATTTAAAGTGTCTGAAAGCAAGGGGTTGTAGATATTTATTTCAAGAAGACAGTTGTATTGAAAAGAGAGACTCTAGCTTTTCCTCTTTGCATGAAGAACTACATGACGAGTTAGGAAAGATGTGTAGATTAGAAGAAATTGAATTTGGATGGGGTTTTTCTTCCTTCTCTTTGAGTTCTCTGGAACCTGCACTGATGTCATTAAAGACCATCAATATAGGTTTGGGTGGGATGTTAGGTGAAGATGCATTAAGACGATTACCTGCTATTTGTCCCTTGCTAGAAACAATAATCCTTCATTTTCAGGTAATAACTACTTTCCCAGAGGATTTTAGGTTCCTCCCTGAAGAATGTAGAAAAATATTTCAATTGATCATGGTATGGAAAAACAATGTCGAAACTTTTTCCTTCAATTAACTTCATGTTTAAACTTTTCCAGTCAATTAGTTTAACAGAAATGCAATTCCTCATCTACAATCCATGAAGTTACATTATGATTTGTTACGCAACCAGTCATATGGAAGGACTACCCCCAGGAAGATATCTCAACAGCAATAAAGAGAGGTTACTAGAGTTATGGCAGCCTTATGAAATAAAAGAGAGGTTATGAGAGTTATTGATGCCGAAAGCGCATAGAAAAGTGGCTAAACAGAAAGTTAGGATTTCATAAAAGAGTAACCCTTTGGTTCTCAATTTCTAATTCTCAAATAACAAAATTTAACTCCTAGAACAAGGGTCATAAGAATCCTTTTATAGACTAATTACAAATTGATTCAAAATTCTAAATCTAAAATTCTAAAAATAATAAAACTTCCTAAAATAAATATAACAGTAATTAACATCTAAAAATAAATAAAAAATTACAAATAAATAATTCAAAATACATCCCAAATTTTTAATCTCAAATCATGCCAAATATGTTGCTTTCCTTTTCTTTCCAAACAAATCACAATCACAATCACATCTGCTGCTTTATTGGGACTTGGATTTGATTGCATTTTGTCATATTTCAAATCACTGCCTCTTTCAACAATTCGGCCATACTTATTGGGCCACAACTCTGGTTGACTACGAGTTTCTTGAATCAATGGTTGGGCCATGTACAATGGGCCAACTATAAGTGCATCATTCACCCTTACTAGAAAAGATTCGTCCTCGAATCTTGTTTATCTCCACTGATCTCAATTTCCGTAGACAAAAATTCAAATGTTAAATCTTCCTCTATTAGATCTTCATAATCTGATTCACCATCAGATTTATTATAGATTGGATTATCATCATAAATTGAATCTTCATCATAAGATGGATAATCATCATAAATGGGATAATTATCAACAATCGGATAATCATCATAAATTGGATTATCATCATAGATCCAATAATCATCATAAATTGGATTATGATCATAGACTTCAAAGTCAGGAATCCTGATTTGCATCTCGATATATTGAAAAGTGGACTGATTTCCAGGTTGTACTTCCCAATTTTGTCCCTGGTTTAGAATCCCCAAGGGATTGACGTCCTCTTCTTCGTCATCAGATGCGTCATCTAATTCCATTCTTTCTTTGGATTGAATGCCCAACTTTGTCCACGCAAGTCGCCGCTCCAAATATTGAATTTCCATGCTCTGCACCTCCACAAGAGTTTGCTTCAAAATTTGAATTTTCATGCATATCCGCACGAGTCGTCGCTTAAAATCTTGAATTCTCTTTCTTTGTGCCCGCACACATAGTCGCTTCAAAACTTGGATTTTCTTGTTCAACGCTTGCTCAAGTTGTTGCTTCAAATCCTGGATCCGCCTTCCGAGCTCTTCATTTTCTATATCTCGCGGGTCAATCTGACGCAGTTGTCTATATTCTTCAGGAATGAATCCACGTTCCCTACCCTCGTGACTCTGCCAGAAAAACACAGTGAGAGGGAAAAAAAGTTACTGAACAGTTAAGCTTTGAAGTTAATTGGCTCACAGAGAGTAAGTTGTATTCAAGAGAGGGTACAACCAACACAGAGTCTAGAAATAAGCTATCAGAAAGGGTTAAGGATCCTTGACCAGTAATTTGAGGTACCTCCATTGGCAGTGGAAATAACGGATTGTGAAGAATTACAGAGATTGAACAACTGGGAAGAATCTTTAATCATATGATCAGAAGCACCTGTATCAATTATCCAAATATTATTCCTAGACAATGTATAGAAAGCAAGAGACTTACCCAAAATACGGGATTGAGTAAAATTGGCAGCAGGGACAAGGGCATCTCTAGCGGATACATTAGTCATGGCTTTGGCAGGTATTTTCTTCCGGGAACATTTATTGAAAAAATACGGGGTTGAAGATTCAGAGGAGGTTTTGAGATTATTCATGGGAAAATGGAAATTCGAATTGGGTAACAGAAAAAAAAAAAAAAAATCGAGTGAGGCAAATTGAACAATACGATGTGGAAGGTTTAATGAAAATAGGTTCCTGGATCAGAAACGCTCTGATACCATGTCAAAACAATGGTGCCATATTATGAATATTTCTGTGTGTATATTCTTCCTCTACTGGGGTAATTATATACATAAATGAGGACTCTAGGTCCATTACAAATTAACTGTCAATCAGCTATGAATAAGGAAATGAAATAACCTGTTACTATTTCTATTTAATACAAAACTCCTATGATTATGTAATTGTGTAATCAATGATTAAAATTCCAACAACTGTACAACTCAGCAAATTTTATCTCATTTCCAACTCCTAGAATAAGGGTCATAAGCACCCTTTTATAGACTAATTACAAATTGATTCAAAATTCTAAATCTAAAATTCTAAAAATAATAAAACTTCTTAAAATAAATATAACAGTAATTAACAGTGTTTTAAAACCCGACTCGGACCGGCCGGGTCGACCCGGGACTCGGTGGGTTCCCCGGTCCGAGCGGGTAGTTGGACCGCTTCTGCAGTCAACCCGGATTGGACCGGTTGACCCGGCCGAAACCCGACGACCCGGGTTAGACCGATTATTTCTTTTTTGGTAATTTTTTTTTTTGTTGATAAGAACTCTTGAATTAAATTATATTCATATTTTATGATGAATATGATTAAAAGTAAGGTGGAAATAATAAGGTATTTTAGATTAGTACAGTTCGTTTATATAATTTAGTTGCATCTTATAATGATCTCATGAAGTTCAGTGGTGATAAACACTGATGGTCTCATGATCTCATCTCAACGGTGGACACTTTTTTTTAGTGTATATTTCATGCATACTATTTGTTATCATGATAACGGTGACACTTTTTTCTTAGTGTATATTTCATGCATATTATTTGTTATCATGATTTAATTTATCCGTATCATGTCAAGCACAAAAGGTGCATTTAACTTATATTGCAATTTTAATCCAATATTAGGATATGGTCTAGAGCTAGAAGCTTAGAAGTATATAATATTTGCTATCATTGAAAATCAATTTATTTTTTGAAGCTCATTGATAGTTTTCTTATGTGAATTTTTATTAATATAAGTAATACTTTTATATTTTTAATATGTGAACAGTAAATCCGGTTTAACCCGGTTGAACCAGTGACCCAGTACCTCGACCGGTTCGATGACCGGTCCGAGTTTTAAAACACTGGTAATTAACATCTAAAAATAAATAAAAAATTACAAATAAAAAATTCAAAATACATCTCAAATTTTTAATCTCAAATCATGTCAAATATGTTGCTTTCCTTTTCTTTCCAAACAAATCACAATCACATCTGCTGCTTTATTGGGACTTGGATTTGATTGCAGTTTGTCATATTTCAAATCACTGCCTCTTTCAACAATTCGGCCATATTTATTGAGCCACAACTCTGGTTGACTACGAGTTTCTTGAATCAATGGTTGGGCCATGTACAATGGGCCAACCATAAGTGCATCAGTTATGACATTCGTTATGAAATAAATAGAGTTATGGCAGCTGTTATGAATTAAAAGGTTATGAAAGTTATGGGTTATGAAAGTTATGGCAACCGTTATGAAAATATCCTAGATATAAGGAGGAATCTCTTATAAATAGGCAGACAATTTGTTCTGTGATTGTTTGGCTGAGAATCTTTCTCATATTTAAGAGCTAGTCCCATGGCAAGAGAGTGCTCTTGTATTCTTTGTTTACTTTAATAAAGAAAATCTTCCTAGATCATAACCCGTATCAATTGAACCGACTTGCCGGATCTCATGGAGAAGTCGAAGGAAGGAGCTTTGGAAAATTCTTTGGAATTGTTGCAGTAGGAAACCAGCGCAAACATTGCTTCAATACACAAAACTTTGGACGGGATGGATAGGATGCGTGATCTCATAAAATTGTGGATGATCCAAAATGGGGTCAAAATGCCCTGGTTCACGTTCTGGAGGAAATGCCAACCCTCGGATCTTGAACGAGGATGCCATGGTGGGTTTTGAATGAGGCTGCTGTGGACACTAGTTTTGGAGCTTTGGAGAATTCTACAATGATCTTGAAGAAAGAGATTACCTTTTGAAATCAAGAAGGTGCAATCTTTGGCAGAGAAGGAGGTTCTGGTTGCAATGGATGTTTGTGATGCAAAAGCAGAACACAAAACTAAAGAAGGAACAGAGAATGTGCAAGAAATTGCAAGTTTGCAACTCGAATACGAAGAAAAAGGAATACAAGATTCATGATGAAATAAATATAATGGAGAAATTGCAAGGAGAAATGCACCCAAAACCAAACCATGTCGAGATGAAACCAAAACATGATGCAATAAGGACTAGACAAGTCTTTATTCCTGAAAGAAAGGTCAGGAGGGTCGCAAAATAAAGGAGGAGAGATGAGCCCTGTACAAATGGGGGTACTTCGCGCCAAGGCGGCCTCCCTTTCAAGGGTCAAGCGGATCTTGGGTGTGAGTGAGCATGGAAGCATGACATGCGGAGTTGGTCCAGGGATCAAAACTTCCTCTATTTCACAGGTGTTAGTTGTGATATACCACAAATTTCATTAGTCAGCTCGACCTCCCTGCACTAATAGGGCCAGCCACAGCTTCATCAACCAAAAGTCATTACATAAGCTTGACTTCCCTAGTTTGTCCACGTCCTCTATTCTAGTTCAGGTCTCATTATTCAGTGCTGTAAATGTGAAAAATAAAAGACCTAAAGGAGGCACAATCCATGCTCAATTTTTTTCCTTTGTCTTGATCTTTTGTGTGGCTTACTTTATGCATTCAGGTTATCTATTTTCAATTTTGACATTTTTGCAATGACTTTGTTGGCTTGGCCCCAAGTCTATTCAAGTCCAACAACTTTCTTTGGCTTGAAAGGGGTTACTGCATTAGGATTTGATTGGTCTACATTTTCCTCCTACTGTGGCAGTCCACTAGCTAGCTCAAGGTGCACTAATGCTAATATTGCTATTGGATTTGTTCTCAACATAGCACCAGTACTTATTGGTTAAATGCCTATGATGCCAAGTATTTTCTAATATTCTCAACTTATTCAAAGAACGAACCTGTACATCTCAGCACATTTTTTGCAATGACTTGTGGCCTTGGATTCGCAGAACTTTCCACTATTGTTATGCATGTTTCCTCTTTTTTGGAAGGGAAATATGGTTACTTCATGAGGATGCTTCTTGGAAAGATATTATTTCCATCCAAAGTCAGTTTTTTGGATTTCAACCTTGGGGATAAGATTGTTTCACAGGAGGAAGGTATTGTTTCACATGAGGGAGGTATTTCTTATGGAAGGATTAACCCCGCAGGAAGATATCTCAACAGCAATAAAGAGAGGTTATGAGAGTTATGGCATTCATTATGAAATAAATAGAGTTATGGCAACCATTATGAATTAAAAAAAAAGGTTATGAGAGTTATGACAGCCGTTATGAAATATATCTTAGATATAAGGAGGAATCTCTTATAAGATAGGCAGGCAAGTTTTTTTTTGTGAGTGTTTGGCTGAGAAGCTTTCTCAGATTTAAGGGCTAGTCCCTTGGCAAGAGATTGTTCTTGTATCATTTGTTTACTTTTATAAATAAAATCTTCTTTTTACTTATTTTTATTTATTCTAGCAGTCAGTTATTGAATTCCTAGATCAAAACCCATATAATGATTTCTTCACGTCTTCAACTAGACAAGTCAAGGCTTGTACTCTGAACTAGTCTCATCAATTATAGCTAAAGTGTTGCGTTTCCAGTTCTTCTCATATGTATGTGTATGAGATGTATGTTTCTTATTTTATCTATTACTTGGTCTTCTGTTACTTCGCTCCATGTATGCTTCTTCTTTTCAGTTCTTGGATGTTGCAATGCATTTCTAAAATTTTGTTCATTGCTTTCTTTGTTGTTTTGGTCTTTTACAGGTGATATCTGATATTATTGTGATGAACTTAGTTACATCTGTGATAAACTTGCAAGTATTAGCTCTGTGCTATTGTTTTGGTGATATATCCAACACAAGCTTCAAATTCCCCATGCAAAATCTCAGAAAGTTGAGGCTTGAAAGAGTAACCCCTTGGATGACCAATGATGATCTGGTTATTCTAACTCAAAACTGCAGAAATTTGGTTGAACTTTCATTGCTAGGATGTTCTCTTCTTAACTCAGGTTAGGATTTATTAATCGTGAAGATGATCAACTGCCCTTGGCTTAATTCATTGGACATGATTTTGTAACACATGCCTCTAGTTTGATTAAGTTGAACCCTCATGATATTAAAAATATTAATAAACACCAGAACAACCAAAGTATGCCATTTAAATAATTGTTTTGTCTTCGACTGCTACAATGGAATTCCTTGGTATTTGCAATATGGTAAATTTTCTTTTGTAGAATTATAATACAGTCACTGCAACTTTAATCAACCGGTGATAATATACATGTTTGTCAATTGTTACGGTTCTGAATTCTTTAAAGATGGAAACGAAAAGAAGAAAAAAGGAAATGGAAGAAAATAGGATCTGTTTATTGATGAGAAGAGAAACAAAACAACACACAAGAGACACAAAACAACAGACAAGAGACACTTCTCTTACCAAGGGGCACTCCCCTTCTAACTGAGCACTCTCAGCCTATATTCAGGAAATACTAAAACTCCCTCCAATAGTAAGGACACACCCCTTTTTTTATACAAATAGAACCATTCCACCTAACTAACTAACCATCTCCTAACTAACTAAGTATATTTCCTAAGGAATATTCTTTACCTCCTAATACAAGTCATATCAGTCAATGTTTTTATTTCTCATTGCAGATTCTCAACATATAATTTCATGTGGATGGCCGGGCTTGGTGTCTATCCATTTAGAGGTTTGTTAATTTTTCCATTAGAAACAATTAGAATTACCTTGGTTATAACTTATACCATGTTGATATATAATCATGTATAGTCATACACAATGGTTGTATGTTTTATGTAATATGAATATGATGACTTAGTGAGTTTCCCAAAAATTAAGCAACATATGTGGCTTACAGCTGTCAACTTGAGAAATTTTAGAAGAATGTATAATTTTTTATGTTGGGAGACAGGGACGGGGGGATTGGTCTCCATTTTTGGGACCTCAGAAGATGTGCTGCTCATGCATTTGACGTGGAGATGGAGTGCTTATCCCTTGATTGATGGCGAATAATTTCTTTTTATATATCAAATGCTTATTGTATAGATCATGCATATGGTCATAGTTCCTTCATTGTTCACGAGTGTAAAGAAGAGACATGGAGACAACGATCATGAAGAGAGAATCCTTACCTTTGTTTGTGACTGCACTTGACATGGAGGTCTTATTTATAACAGGGAGTGAAGAATAGTACCAATGAGTGTAATACAGTAGTGCAACTGTAGAACATCTATATACAGAATAATAATAATAATAATAATAAGATTCTTTTGTTCTAAAGCTATATCATACTATATATAGAAGAATAGGTTTCTGCATGTAATTTTTAATTGCTAGGATACCTATTGTTTAGGACTGTGGAGAAGTGACAGCAAATGGGGTCTCTGCTCTTCTTGACTGCATAGCGCTTGAAGATCTCCTGTTGCGTCATAATGTGAGCTTTCTATAAGCCTTTTTTTTCTTTTCTTTTTTTAATAAAACTATTCATTGCATCTTGCATGTATATTTAAATTATGAACGGTGGTCAGATGATGAGTTATTCATGCATATTTTCCAGTCAATGTATTTGGGTTGTTTCCATCTTGATAATTAATTTTCTACTGCTTCTTAGATTTTACAGTCATCATTTAGATTAATGTAGCATTTTTTATTGTATCGTTACACTAAATTCGGGATTTGAAATGGCGTTCTAAGTATATCACCATGGATTATATCATGAAGATTATACTTGTAAAAGAAGCAAAAATCATGATTTGTGAAGATAGTCTAATATGATTGCCACTCTCCTTGATGTCACCTGATGATTCCAAGTGCAAGAACATGGTATTTGAGCCCTGTTGTGAGTTTAATGATTGGTATACAAATTATTGTACCATCCGTATTCTTTGATTGATTTCTATTTTAAAGACATAAACATTTCATTAGATGATAATGTGGGAAGTTGATTCTGATGAGAACCACTTATAATTACAATTGAACAAATAGATGTCAGCTTTCTGCTCTTTGGGGCATCTTTTGTGGAGTTATTTTGCCAACTTTGGGTGTGCTTTCTAACATACGAGGTATGCTTCTGCAAAAAAGAGAAGCTAACATTTTCTGTGTGGATCCCTCTGGAATTTTCTAATCTTATTTGAAATCATGCCATTTACTATTGACTTGACCATAAATATGCAGGGCCCTGGGCTACGGAGAAACTTTGTTTTTAATGCTGCTTTAAAGGTTGCACTTTGCTTATGTTTATTTTTATTTTTATTTTTGGTTTTGTAAAATGTTATAAACTTGAAATTAACTGTTGTATCTTTTGTCATAAATAACAGATGCCATTACTTCGAAAACTGTCACTGGATATATGCGATGCAAGCGAAGGTGATTTTGACATTCCGAATAATGTAAGTCAGTGTAGCACCATCCCTCTTCTATAATTAGTTATAATACCAGTTCTTGAATTGTCATCGTAGTCTATGGGGAATTATCATACATGTGCAAGTCTAATGTCTGTAATTCATCCTGTCATTTTTTATTCTTCGTGCTTTCATTTTGTGATACAATGGATAACGTGTGGTCAATTTGAGCCGGTGTTATCCTTTGAGGATTAGCACATATTCAAGGGCACCATGGAACCAAGCAGATGTTTAAACCTTGGGACTAACCAGGTGACACTTCCTCCCCCAAAAAATAAAGATTGAGGGTGAGGAACATGTTAAATCAAGGGGAGGGTAAGTTTATTTTATGATAAAAAAACAGATAGGTGTAATGCAATGGTATGTTGGTTTGGTGTCATCCTCACTCATTTTTCTAAGCTTATATTCTATTGAATCTCCATTAATGCCAACTAGTTTGGGATAAATATGACGCTGATATTGATATCTTGTTGAGTTTGTCTCGTTAATCTACGGATTGAGAAAGGCAAGGCTGCAAATCAGCCGAGACCATGCATGAAGCTATTTCATGTACATTAAGCCTTAGCTTTTTGAGATGGTTCGTCATGATACCCAGTGAACTCTAATCTCATTTGTCTGTTATTCTGTTAAAACCCTCCTCAGGCTTTAGATGTTCTGATATTTTTGTTTGTGCTGTAGTATGCAGACAGATGCTTTTTAAGTACCTTGAAGATAACAAGATGCAAATCTCAAAGATGTGCATTTAATCTCCCAGTCTCTGCCCCAGGGGCTCGTAGAAGATCCGTGCATGTGGAAACGCTGGTGCTTGTGTGGAACAGCAGTGATCTCATCAGAACGGTGGTGAAGGAAAGGCTTTAGTGAATACTTGTCTTGAGCATTAATTAGATAATTCTCTGGTCACATCACCCTCCTCCCAAGATGAAGGGTTCCTTTTACAAGTGATTTGGTGGCATGAATTAAAATGCTTATAGTGATTAAGAAGTTGGTCTTCTTGCTTCTGCTAAAAGTTGGCTTTTCTGAAATTTGTTTGTATTAATTATCTCTTACGTTCTTTACCCTAACTCAGCTAATAAAACGACGCTAAGATGCTTGAGAAGTCAGCGGTTGCACTTTGTATGATGATGATCCCTGTTTATGTTGCTCATGCTTTTTAATCTTTTGAGCAAATCGTCATCAATATGCTTTTGCTTTGTATTGCATAACAACGTGCATATTGGTTTTGATTGACTTTTAAGAAAAAAATACTATCTTTTTAACTTTATTTCTTACTGTTTTAAATCAAAAGCTTTTCAGCATTTACCCTTCACCATGATTGTATGACCCGAATTAACTCGGTTGGATTAGAGAACCTGTAAAGACTCCTGGCCGGTTTGGTTAGTATTTTGTGTAATTTTTCCCATTACCTGATCTAGTTTGGATGACCCACTGGACCTATACCCAATTTTTCCTTTAAAATTTTCTTTTATTTTTAAAATGTTGTGTCATGTATATATATATTTTGGGTAACTTTATCTTAAGGGAGCTGAAGCCCAACCAAAAATATCTAATAAATAAAATCCACACGGGTTAATGTGGCCGTTCAACTTCAAACTTCAACCCGAACTCAACAGGAGGAGTATCAAGAGTAGGATGTACGGTATCTTTATATCAGCTCTAACTTACGAAGCATCGACACTTCAAAATTTTTGATGTACCGTGTCTGACACTTTTTGACACTCCAATACTCATTGCAAAGATTCAAAAAAAGTTTAAAGGTTACTTTGCATTGCATTTTGAGTTTCAACTATTAGATTCGTTGGATTACGATTAATATTTTATTGAGTTTAATATAAACATTTGGGACATCTTATATTTCTTTATAAAATTGATGGGTATTATAAGTTTAGCTTTATTTTTTTTTGTTAAATTATTGAATATTAAATATAATATACATTACATAAATTAAAAATATTATATAATATCAAAACGTGTCCTAACATGTCAAAATTTAACATTTTTTAGAATTAAAGTGTCGGAGTGTCGTGTCGTATCGTATCGTATCCCGTGTCAACTTGCAAAATAAATCTTTTTTTTTTCAAAAAGGGATTTGTTGTTCCTGACTCTGCTTCACCTTAATTGTTATTTGAACAAATAAAGTGATGTCTTGGTCCAAGTGGGAATAACATTTCTCTTCTGCATGTCCATAGAGTTTTGAAAAATCCAAACATCTCAGAAATAGGTGTCGGTGCAATATAGGCTCTAACTATTTAACCGATTTTCCTGGTGATTCTCTTTCCAAAACACATGCTTGATTTGCAATTCCCAACTTGAGTCCAAGTTTATTGAAAAGATATCTTTCTCGAAGAGGTTGAAATTCTTTCTCACAAAGTCAATTCACAATCCAGAGAGAATCACGTAGAAAGTTCCGTAGTTTGATTATATCTCCATGAAAACCAATATATAAGTAACTCAAATTAGCAAACACATTATTTACACTTGGTGATATAGTGTTGGAAACAACTAATGACAAATTTGGGAGACGGAACCTTTTATTGATGAGTAATGATTGATTAGTTGCAATCCACTGGCTCGCATTAACTAGGACAAATCTCATTTCGGATACTTGGTTCCGACTGAAGGAAAGAAATAAAAATACATAGGATGTGGTTTATGATATCTGTTCGACTGGAATAAGCTTTATTTTATAACGTTGACCATTTTTTGAAGTAACAACTTTGATTAAAGCCGTCCAATTAAAGGGATGTAGTCATGTTACAACTAACTTTGCATTAATAATGAACAACGATCAATTGACTTGCTAAAAATGACATCATCGCTTAGCGAATATGTCGACTTTTGATTTTGGAATTTGAGCACTGAGTATTTAAATACTTAAATAAGAAGTTATAATTACTTTAAATATCAACAAATCAGCAACGAGATTGGGGTAAATGATTTGAACTAACTTTGCATTAATAATGCACAAGTATCAATTGCCTTGCTAAAAATGATATCATCGCTTAGCGAATATGTCGACTGTGATTTTGGAATTTAAATATTTAAATAAGAAGTTATAACTATTTACATATCAACAAATCAGCAATGAGATTGGGGTAAATGAAGGGATAAAGGGTCTAATCTATTAAACAAATCAAGAGGCATAAAAATAAAGACTTAAAGAATAAGAAAACATGTTTATTCCGCATACATGTCATCTGCACATACACAACAGGAGTAGCAGCTAGGCCTCCTCAAAAGCCAATGATTGAAGCATAAACACAAGGTTCTAAGTAGATCTAAATAATATAGCCACAAATAGACATCTCGTGAATGAGATAAGTTGCAAGAGTCACATGAACTCACAAATGGGATTGAATGTTGACATACTAAGGATTATTATTAGGGATGCTAAACGAACAAGGGGCTTTTAACCCAGCTCGTGAAAGCCTGACCTTACATTTTTAAAATTGATTGTTGGAATTAGGCTTGGACTTGTATAAAAGCTCGTTCAATAAAAAAGTATCAGGTTCCAATTTAAAAGATCAGACTTAGAATCTCTCAGGCTGGCCTATTATTCTAACTTTTATTATTATTTTATATTTTTTATATTATCCATAATAGCCCCCCTCTCCCCTTAATCCATTTCACCCCATTTTATTGGTTAAATAGACTTTTTGAATAGTTTTGTCTTATATTATGTTGTTTGAATATATATTAAATTTATGAATCTTTGTGGAATTATTAGAGCTGTTGATCGTATATTATATTTGGATAAATTTTTTTTGCCTTATTTTTTTTAACAGGTTAAACCAGGCTGTTGAAAGGAAGTTTAAATTTGAAGTATTGTTGTATTTGTTAAGATATTGTTAGATAGGATTTGATTGTTAAAGATAATTTGTTTAAGTTGTTTCCTAGTTATATGATAGGTTGTTATTTTCTCCGTGTATATATAATCCTCATTGAAGAGGAAGATTAATCAATGAAATGTATTTACTGTACTCATGTTTAGTTTCTAACATGGTATCGATTTCTGATCCTGGGAATTTTTTTCCTTTACAAAGTTCCTATTCTATTTTTTTTCCCTCACTCGTTATTTTCCCTACCCATATTTTTTTTTACCCATATTCATTACCCGAACCCAGCCCGTAACTCTTTTTTCTTCTTCTTTATGAACCGTACAACGACCCGTCCCTTCCTTCCTTCTGAAAAAACCTTCACAAAAATAAGACTTGGCAATTAACTCCCTTACCTAGAGGCAAGAAAGCAATTGGATGTAAATGAGTGTATACGGTAAAGCTTAAGGCAGATGGAAGTATTAACAGATTTAAAGCAAAACTTGTGGCAAAAGGGTATACTCAAAAATATGGTGTGGACTATCAAGACACTTTAGCTCCTGTGGCTAAGCTTAATACAATTCGAATTCTGATATCAATAGCAGCTAACAGGGATTGGCCTCTAAAACAATTTGACGTCAAGAATGCCTTCTTGAATGGTGACTTAGAAGAAGAAGTCTACATAGATGTTCCACCAGGAGTAAAATTAGCACCATCAAAAGAGAATACAGTTTGTAAACTAAAAAAAAGCATTGTACGATATTAAACAATCACCCAGAGCATGGTTTGGAAGATTCACTCTAGCAATGAAGAAGTTTGGGTATAAGCAGAGCAATTCAGATCATACACTGTTTATAAAGCACAAAAATGGGAAGGTCTCCATACTCATTGTTTATGTAGACGATATGGTATTAACAGGTGATGATGTAGAAGAAATGAAACTACTAGAGAAGAGGTTGGCTGCTGAATTTGAAATGAAGGACCTAGGCCAAATGAAATACTTTCTGGGAATTGAAGTTACAAGATCAAGACAAGGAATTTTTCTGTCTCAAAGGAAATATGTTCTAGATCTCTTGGCCGAAACTGGAATGTTGGCTTGCATGCCAACTGATACCCCGATTGAGGTGAATCACTCCTTAGCAATTTATCCAGATCAAGTTGAAACTGATAAGAACAGATATCAAAAGTTAGTGGGAAAATTAATCTATCTATCTCATACTAGACCTGACTTTGCATACTCAGTAAACATTATAAGTAGGTTCATGCACTCTCCTAGCGAACAACATATGGATGCCGTATACCGCAACCTTAGATATCTAAAAGGATCACCAGGAAAAGGTCTCTTGTATTCTAAAAATAAAGCTGGAATAGAAGGATATTATGATTCAGACTGGGCTGGAGATAAAACCACCAGGCAATCAAGTGCTGAGGCATAATACAGAGGTATGGCATATGGTGTTTGTGAGTTATTGTGGATAAAGAACATCCTAAATGATTTGAGAATCACATATGATCAACCCATGAACCTATATTGTGATAATAAAGCAACTATTGATATTGCTCATATCCAGTCCAACCTGATAGAACAAAGCATGTGGAGGTAGATAGACATTTCATTAAGGAAAAGCTGGATGAAAAGATTATTCAAGTTCCTCACGTAAAATCTGAAGATCAACTGGCAGATGTATTAACCAAAGCATTATCAGGAAGAATCTTTGAAGAAGTGATTGACAAGTTGGGCATGTTGGATATCCATGCACCAACTTGAGGGGGAGTGTTGAAAGGAAGTTTAAATTTGAAGTATTGTTGCATTTGTTAAGATATTGTTAGATAGGATCTGATTGTTAAAGATAATTTGTTTAAGTTGTTTCCTAGTTATATGATAGGTTGTCATTTTCTCCATGTATATATAATCCTCAATGAAGAGGAAGATTAATCAATTAAATGTATTTACTGTACTCATGTTTAGTTTCTAACACAGGCTTTTATTTTTTGAAAATAAGTCAAGTCACATACCGATAATTATATTTCGTAATAGGTAACAGGCTAGGTTAGACTAATATATTTAAACAGGATTAGTCTTTCAAGATCAAAGTCTGACCTGGCTCAACCTGTTAACACTCGTAATTACTATATAAAGAAAGCTGAAAGCTCAAGTATGATCATATTCTCTATTATCACTTAAACTCATTGATCAAACATGACTTGAGCATCAAAGTGCATTGTACCTCCCACCTTTTGTTTCAGCCAAATCGAGAACTTCAACACCATTTCGCAGAGTCATCCTATGATGCCTCTCATCATATCCTTCCA